CAGTTTATAATAAACACGATAGATTCGGTGCAGATTTTGAGGTGTAATATGTGTACAGTGTGTTAGTAGTGGCAGTGGGGGGAATGAGAAATTGAGAATTGAAGGTGGTGGGTGATTCTTTTCTTCAACACAGTTGCAAATGTTGTAAGCACGGTTTCCCATCTGTCTTTCTTTCACTTTGCGTCAGTGTCGTCTATGTTTTTTCATTTGACTGACCCTTCCTCCCACCAATCTGAACTTTGACCAGTCAAACCATCTCCATGGCTTTGATCCCCCCCATATGATAACGCCCTTGGTCCCACAGATTTTGCACCAACCCTGGCCCACAAAAAAAGAACTGGATTCCAAAGCTTACTGTTCGTATTTGCTCCACTAGCCCACTAGATCATGATTATCATTCATTATCACTACTAGCTCCTTCACTAGAATGTTTCGTCGTTCCGAAATATGACCAGCTTATTTATTTTTTGTTTCAATTTAAAAGAAAAATTCAAATTAAATAATAATTTTGTTATGGAGTATTATTATATTAGTGCAGACCGAGGAAAGTATCAATTTTTATTATACACAACAATTGAGTTGTTATCGTACTATTTAATGTCAAAATATGTAGGGTTTAGGGTTTTGTTTGCTAGTTACTTACATTACAACTCGATAATGTAGACTGATTCCTTGTTTGTAAAATTGCAAAGCAACTCAAAACCATATTTTTGTAAGGATTTGCTTTTGGCCTTGTTCTTTTAGGTAACGAAATCGAAAAGTGATCAACTGGGGATCGATGTTGATTTAACGTTAGATGGGGTGTTACAAATTTCAACATGACCATGATTAGGGTTGAGTGCTTGCTGTTGAATATGAAGGAGGCAAAGCAATAAAGCCAAAACGCCATAGGATCCGGAAATAATCAGAGAGAGTGCATTCAATCATTGTTTGTTTATGATACTACATGTTGCTCCCTCCCAGCAGATTATGACAACTTAGAATATTTGTTGGGAAGAAGAAAAAAGAAAATAAACCAAACAAAAGACATTGATTTTCCCACCACTCCAAGAATCTTGGTCCCAGAAATGGTATTAATATTATTGGGAAAGTAAAACAAAAAAAGACCAAAGTGTATCTCACCTAGACCAAGAATTATCTAGTCGATCTCACATTTTGTTTATTAAATTTTTTGTTATAATTATTTTATAATAATCTCATGATCGATCTTTTCCTTGATTGGCTGATCATGGTTTTAGTGGATTGCATGTGTGTATACGTTGTTTTTCTATTAATCATTAATTTTGGTTGTTATCTTCATGGATAAGGAAAAAAATGTTCACATTATACAATCAATGTAGGTTTTGATTTTTGTCAGGATCTAACAACATCTGGATTCTAGTTCTACTACCTTCCAGCTACCTAGCTAGGGCAAAAATTGGTCCTTCAGCACCATCAACGATGGATGATTACCTTCGACCTAAGTATAATTTTTTAATTTTGTGTTTGGTAAATTTACCTTAATTAATGATTGCTCCACTTATTCAACGGGTTATCAAAGCTACATGGTCTTCTTTCTCATCTTGTTACATTTCGACATATTTTGATAAAATACAAGTTAGTCTTTTATGAAATACTTTTCAATTTATTTATACATTTACATCTTCACCGTAAACTATAAACAAGATATGTGAGATTAATAGAGGGAAAATCATTTGTTTGAATTAGTTAAAGAACCGTATAAAACGTGTTTTCTTCTTTGAGACAAAAGCAAGATGGCGATCTCATATTGCATTTAATTTATTTTGAATGTATATATATAAGTGTTTTTTTTTTCCAAAAGGAGGTGCAAGAGGGTTTAAGCATAAGTTTACTAAATATGGTCTAAAAATAGTTGCTTATAATGCATTGTCTCATTTCCGTTAAACAATAATGATTTCTAGCCAAAATTAGAATATGTATGTACTTGAATATATGTAACTTCTCTAGGACACACATAATGCTACCTTCCTCTTGACCACCTTTCTGCCATAACATTTATTACACCAAATCTTTCTCCACACACATTTTGGTTTTCCAAACTGAATTCTTATTTGTACAATTGTCATATAACCGTACCTTGCTTCATCACTTGAGTTGATCGATCATTAGAAACCGTATAAAACAAAAATTGTGTTTCCCTCAAATGGATCTCTTTTACTTACTTACTTACCAACCTTAAAACTTGAAGAAAAAGTTTGTCTATGTGTCCCGATTGGACATTGGCCTATTATGTAGCTATAGATTTCCCCAACTCCACTGCCAACATATAGAGGTAGCTGCAGCTAGGGCACATTCTTCTGATAATTATTCCTTACTTTGATCTCAAAATTTTTAGACCCAATTTTGATTTGTCTTGTGAATTCAACATGTAGCCCAAGGAGGCTTCACGTGGCATTCATCAAGAGCAACCTTTATCTCCAAATAATGTTTTTGAATATGGCAATGATGGATGGAGACACAAGTACTGTTTATTAATAATGAGTGTACATTTGTAATGATATGTGACCATTTATCTATGCAGTGATATAAGAGATAGTGGAGGTGTTTGTTTAATATGGACACTACCCCGCTCTTACTTCAAAAGTACTAGATTCTCCTTGCTTACCACACACCACTTTAGCTGGGATTGATCGTCCTAAAATATACATCTCACCAATTGTCATTTTTTGCCCCATGTGCCAAATTGATATTATTTATACAATCTTGATATACGTTTCAAATGAACAATGAAATCAAACATACCCGTCACACATCGTCCTTTGTGTTATTCTGCTTTAAATATTATCAAGTTAAACTTAATATCTAGATTTTAACTAGACCGGAGTACTGACAAGATTGAATTTTACATACTCAAGATGATTGCATCATGGTTATGGTTTCGAATTTCAAGTTGTACATTTTGTAAAACGAAGGGTTAAATATGTGATTCTTCGTACTTCTTTAGTTAAGAACAAATAGAAAAATTCATTGTTAATGCAATGGACTATCTTAACGACAATACATATGGATATGCGAATGCTCTAGTTATAATAGTCGGACTATTATCATGAAATGGAGATAGAATAATATCTACATGTAGAAAACGACTACGCTACTAATTGGAGAAGAATTTGACATCCTGAAAGAAAAGGGACAACAAAACTACAAAATGCAGACGTAGAGCTTATGCAACAGTCACATTTGGAGAAGGGAAAAAAATAATTAAAAGTAATGGTTAGCACAGTGAATAAGACTAGTCATATAGTTGGATACTCTAATATACATGATATAGAAAGAAAGGGAAGATGAGCTAGGACCAATTGGCTTAAAAAAATAGGAAGAAGAAGAAGATTAACACACAATAGGGTTTTTTGGGTGGTTGTTGTTACAGAGAAGCATGGAAAAATAAAGTGCAAATTCTGGTGTCCACATTGTGTCCCCTTACTTGTTTCATCATCATCTCAAGTCCACATCACAACCCTTAAGTTTTCCACTACATCTCCTCATCTTGCCTCTCTACTCAATCCTCCATTTAGAATTCATTGTCAGGATTACACTCTCGACCTCGCGATTATAATTTATCACCCTTACCATTTCATTCCGTCCTTCTGCTCGTTGTTTTAAATGTTGGTCTTTGCCATGACTTAATGCAAAAATAGTTAGGCCCTGTTTGATAAACCAATTAAGCACTTAAACTTATTAATTAAGTACTTAATTAATTAACACTGTTTGATAACACACTATCATAACAACTTAATTGCTTAAGAATGTAATTTATTAAGGACTTAAATTTTAAGTGTGTTTGATAACTCAAAGTAGGATATCTTAATAAATTAAGTGGATCTGAAATTCTAGTACAAATGTGAGCCTAAAAATAAGTGATAGGCCTATCACTTATTTTTTATTTAATAAATATTTATTTTTATATAAAAATTAAAATCTATTAAATTCCATGATCAATATATCTTTACCATAAAATATGAATTTTTTTTGACAATGATAAAATATGACATTATTATTAACTGAAAAAATAATAACATAATAAAATTTAAATATTTTTGTTACATTATTTAATAATAATATTATTATTTTTGTTATCATAGTTTCATATACATCAATTATTTTTTTAGATAAAATTATAAGTCGAGATACTTTAAATTTCAGTGTTCAGACTTCAGATTTCAGACATTTTATTCAGTGTTTAGATTTTGATTTTATCAAACACGACAAACTTAATCAATTCAGTACTTATGATTCAGTCTTCAGATTTCAGACTTCAGACCCAAATTAAGTTTTATCAAACGGGCCCTTAGTATCTAATTGTGTATCTTTTGTTTGGTCATTAAGAACTTCAATCTTTTGGTTGCATCGATCATAACTTTTGGTTGTATAGGAAAAGAACATAATCACGGTGACATAAAAGGGAAACAAAGAGAGAGTAAATTATAAGCATCTTTTTTATCACATTTTAATTAAAAGATCGATCTTAGTTTTGTCTTCTATGTAAAAAAAAGTTGATCTCTTTTATTCCTAATTTTCTGAAATACGACTTTGATTGTTTATTTTCCTGGTAATAACTAATAAGACAATAACTCATTTCTTCAGTTAATTAATTAAGTAGTACTCTCTAAATTTTAAAATGATTATTTTCTTGTCATTATACAATAAAATGAAGTAAAACTAACACAATGTTTTATGTCACTTGAAAAGCAATCGAATTGCAACAAAGCATAGTTCTTGATATTTTTCAATTATTTTACACCCTAAAACATATGAGAATAGAATAGCAAAGGCTTGTTTCGAAAAAATTCCTTTTAAATAAAGGCTTAAAATTTTCAATTTTAAATTTTTGAAAATTAATAAATAAAAGAGGAAACGAAAATGGTTGGAGTGGCGCCGAGTTGCAGCCGCTAAAAATTTTCAACAGATCGGCGGAGGGAAGGAAGAAGAGTCCAAAATAGCCAAAATACAGTACTCACTTCTACATCTCCATCCCAATCATGGGACCCACAGGTAAGGCACAGTACGAAGCAATTCCCACGCTAGTAGGGCCCACTCCCCCTCTAAAGCAGAACTGTCCAAATTGAATCCGTTGTGACAGTAATTCTACCCTCTCCCACAAGTAGTATTAGTAGTAGAAGTAGAACTGTATTTTTCGTACCATGAACCAAAACCAAGTTACACAACCAAATCTAATTGGAACGTTCAAGCGATAAAAGTATGGGATTATTCGATTTCGAATGTAATTTGAGTGTTGATACGTATTCACAATAATGATTGAAGTATTTGTCAAGAGAAAATTTTGCATTCTTACAAGAAAGTTCGAAATTAAGATAATCTGTAATGTAAAAGAATAAGAGATTCAAAAACATATACCAATAAAAATAACAAACCGAAACAGAGAAGATAGTTTTGAGAATGGACAAAGATTTTCTTCTCTCTGTCTATGCGTGCTTACACTCATCCCCGTACCCAAAAAAACAAACCAAGTAATGATTACAATTACAATAGGACCAAATAGTACTACTAACATGGAAAATTCTATCCCCATCCTTCCTTCCATTTCTCTCTCACACACTAACACAAATAAAATGAAAAAACTTTTAATTTTTTTTTTAATTTTTTTAATATCAATTGGCACCATCCCACTGCTTCTCTCTCTATATATATGTTGAAGGCTGCTTCTCGGAGGTCTATCCTCCTCCATCTCTCTCTTTTTTGTTGCTCTCTTCCTCTCTTCCCTTTGTTGTGTTTAAGCGGCCATTTTGAGCTCATCTTTTGCTTTTTCTTTTTTTTTTTTGCATCACTTTTTCCTTCTCGAAATTCAAATACAACCAAAATTCTTTGATCTCCATCAAGTATTCAGTTTGAAATTCATCTCTCTTCCTCTATCAAAGCTGTTTTCTGTAACATTTTAGTTAGTCGTCACCAAACTTTTTTCTTCTTTGGTTCTAAAGGGAAAAGCCCTGTCGGTGTATGGATGGATCCCTCTAGTGCTCATCACCAGGTAGGATCAGTTTTTTTTTTTTTTTTCCCGTGAAGAACATGAATATCTAGCTTTTTAGCTTCAGTTTTCTTTTTCCTTTTTCTCCGGCCAGGATTAAGATTGAGTGGATGATGTGAAAAAAAAATTGAAATAAAATGAAAAAAATGATCTAGATCAAAGGGAAAAACAGAAACAAAAAAAAAAAGGGAATGGAAATTAAGGATATGTGTTTGATAATATGTGCATGAAACTTGTTCTTGAATATGTTTGTTGTTGTTATCAGTTTAAGTAGGTTTCACTTTCAGTCTCCTGTGAAGCTATATCATTTATTAATTCTTTTTCTTTTATTCAGTTGGTTCTTAGATTTTTCATTTTAACATGTTCGGATGAAAGCTATAATTTGTATTCCTTTGTTTGTTAATATATAATTTACTTGATTTGTCAAATAAACTGAATTAACTCAATTACTTAAGCATACATCTAGTTATTTATGTAAGTTTCTTTTTTCACTTGGCTAAAACATCATTCAATTTGTTTCTCAAGTGCTTGATTGATTGTAAAAATTTCAGGCAATATTCCTCATAGACAAACTTGGCCCGAGTTTGTAAATAGGCTTGTTGCTATATATGAGATTTGTTAAGACATATAGTTAACTATTATAGTGGGACGGAAGGAGTATGACATATAATAGCCAGAAATCTTGGTTCATAATCCATATGCTATATTTGAATGGGATGAAAAACAAATCTTTATTTTTCTCTCTCTTTTTTTTTTTTAAGTATTTTGGCTTTAAGAGATGACAATTCAATTTGCTGAACATTGTGAATTTTTCCAAATTGCAGGAACTGTCTTCCCAAACTCTAGAAAGCATGTTGGTGTGCACAAAAGCAGCACAGCAAGACAAGAAACCAAGGCCACCAGAACAAGCCCTGAAATGCCCTAGATGTGATTCCACCAACACCAAATTCTGCTACTACAACAACTACAGCCTCACTCAGCCCAGATACTTCTGCAAATCATGCCGGAGGTACTGGACTAAAGGCGGAACCTTGAGGAATGTTCCGGTTGGCGGGGGTTGCCGGAAGAACAAGAGATCCTCATCCTCCTCATCTTCATCTTCAAAGAGGAGCCAAGATCATCAATCCCCACTCATCACAACCAATCCCAACCACCCGCTTTCCTCACTCACAAACCTGTCCTATGATTCCGACATCAGCCTTGCTATTGCCAGGCTTCAGAAGCAGCATTCAAATGGGCACATGGGATTTGATCCTGACCATGATCTAACCATGTTGGGAAACCCTAACAACCCACATTGTAATGACATCCTAGGAAACAGCCATGGTGGTCATCATGGTCATGGTTTGCTTGATGCATTGAGAGGAGGGTTTCAGCTTGAGAACCAGAATGGATTTCATCACAATTTATATTATGGGATGAATAATGGTGGTGCTAATGGAAATTTGGGACATCATCTTGAAAATGGTGGTGGGCTAGGCCTTAACAGTAGCCATGATCAGGAAATGTCAATGATGCCTTATGATCAAGAAATTAGTGGAGCAACAACAACAACAACAACTGCAGCGACCACAGTGTCAACTGTGAAGCAAGAACTGTGCAATGCTGCCAGAGATCATGGTGAAAGTAGGGTTCTTTGGGGATTTCCATGGCAGGTTGGTGGTGGAGATGCAACCATGGGATCAGATCTTGATTCAGGTAGACAAAGCTGGAACAATGGATTTGCTCCTTCTTGGCATGGACTTCTCAATAGTGCTCCTCTTATGTAGAGTTTTGTCACTTTTTCTTTTATAAAAAAAAAAAAAGAACTCAATGTAGTAAAAGAACTAAAAGGGGGTGAAGGGGGAAAACAGGAATTACTTAAATACTAAGCCTAGAGTTAATTTTGTTCTAATATTTAGACTAAGAAGAAGGAGGTGAAGGGAAAAAAAAACCTTAGTTTTAATTTAAGGGTTTTCTGTTTAAAGAGTGATCTAGGGTTCATGGAATGTTCCCAAATCAATGTTCTATTCGTTTTTTTGTTTCTTTCTCTTTGGGGTGGTTGTAGAATGGTGTTAGTGTATTTTGTTCATGTTTGTTTTCTCTTTATTTAATGGAGAATTAATGACAATTGTTCTTAACCTAGTAGAATTTGTGTTTTGCAAAGTGCAGTGGCTAATTCTTTGTTGGATTTGTTTGCTTATTTTAAGATTGTGTGACTGACTGACAGAATTTGACAGGATGTTTAAATACTGTCTGTAAATTCTTCAAGCTAGTAAATTTTCTCCAAGTCTGAACTATGACTATGACTATGACTAGCAGTACTACTGCTGCTTTTCTTGCAAGGTGGAGTTGGTTGTTGTTATTAAGGAATATAAAAATGGAGGTGCCTTGTTCTCCACAGATTCTCTCTGATTGTTTGCTTTTTTTTAGGTAGATCCTAGGATTATAATAATATTAAGGAATATTATGAAAGAATAATTATATGATGATAATAATTGAGGTTGATGTCAGTATCCCAAAACAAAAAAAAAAAAAAAGAATGAAGCATGAACACCAATATCGGGGAAGATCTTCTTCCCAAATCTCTCACCAGACAAAAAAAATCCAGATCAAAGATTTGAGCGTGGAAGAATGATGATCTGTGTCTGGTACAGTATTATATTAATACTACTGTAGTAGTAGGAATAAGAAGAAGAAAAAAATAAATGCATGCATTAATCTGATTGTTCATTTGTTTAGCAGCGTAGTTGTACAGCAGCATTGTTTGAATGTCTATTTCATCAATCATAGAGAGGGAAAATGACATATTTTTTCTGACACAGTTCGAAGCAGTTTACACACACTTTGTTGCTGTACATTATATAAGCTGAGATCTGACCAATTCTTTTTTTTTTTTTTATTCAAGAGGGAAAGTAACGCTACTAAACGATTACATTTATCGAGTATGCCACCCAATAATATCGTTCTCTAACCAATTACTAACCCCTCAGGGTAGGAAATCCATCCCGTGAAGCCCAGGTGGATTAGAGATATGACCGATTCTTATTTTCTTACTACTTGCATGGCAGATTTCATACCACCGAACCGAACCCCACCGATGAGCAAATTAAATCAAGCTTATTGGGATGGTTGGTGTGTCACTGTGTTTAACCTTTGCTAATACTGCTTCCATTTTGAAATTATCGTCAAATTTGAATTTTTTTATTTTTAGATTAAATTGTACTAAAATAGAAGTACAAAATGAACAATAATTTTGGGGCAGAGAGAGTATTTACTTTTTTCATCTCAGTTTAATAATTTGTTTTATCAAACGAAAATAATTCAAAGAAAGTGAAAACAAGTAAAATGGGACGAAGTGCGTTTATACTTTGAGTTTTGTAATTTCTTGGGTCCCTTTTATTTCTTTATGCAATACATCTATTATTGTGACTTTTGTGAGTCATTCCATTTTCTTGAACCTTATATAGCATCGGGTATGTTCTCATTGTATGTGAGTTTAATTAATAAACTAAGTTGACGTCGATGTTACGAGGTTTTACTTTAAGGTTTTATAATGAAAGTCAGTCATTAGATTAATTTTCCGTCACTTTATCACTGTAGTATTAGTATCATGATTGAAGGTACACCTTAGTGGGGTTAAATGGTCTAATGAGAAATTAGGACGCGGGAATTTAATAAGGTCGAGGTTTGAATTTCTTTAAAGCAATCTAATTCTATTTTTATCTTTTTTTTTAATAAAAAAGATTAAATTAAGTGATAAGATTTCTCATATGTTTTTCTCGGTACTATAAAGAAGACTAACGCCTGAAAATGCCTCTTTTGTTTTCAATTATTTCAAGAGTTCAGAATTTCATATCAAGCCGGTCAAAGGGGAGAACCAATATTGATCATTTAAATATAGGACGTAAGAAGAAAAATAAAATTAGCGATAGGATTTACTTAAAAAACATATTAATAATATAAGTACCATTTATATTTCAGTTTTATAAAATACTCCGTATATGACTTTACCGTATTAATCAGTTGTGGAGTAAATTATATCGCTGTACTCAAAATTTGTAAGAATCGGACGTGCAGATATTATGAGTTAAGGACATGATTTTAATTCTTGAATTCTTACCATCTTACAACCCCAATTTTGCATCTGTCAACTTGTTCATCGACTAATTATTTCGCCATTCTTACAAGTTAAGGACAATATTTAGTTTTATGATCATCTGTCTCAAAATCTCGACAACACCGACTATTTCCATCAGTGACTATCTACATGACTTTGCAAGTCCGTCGACTTGATTGTGCCCCGTCTTTCTGTGGTATTTTTTGCCTTAAATTCTGTGTGAAACTAGCTAGGTAAATTATTGGCACGTTTCAATATAAATATAAAATTAATACTAACACCCAATCGAATAATCACTGATCAATTTGCGATAATGATTAGACGCTCATTAACTTAATTAGTTTTATAAAAATGTCACGGTTTGTTTTGTCACAAACTTGGTTGTTATCTTTAAAATCTCGAAGAACAAGTCCACGACCTCCATAATCTACACGACTTTGCATCTTCGTCGACTTAATCGTTGTCTTGAAAATATCGACGTACAAGTCGATGACCTCCATCAATGATTATTTACACGATTTTGCTAGTAACTATTCGTCATCTATAGATTTTAAGAATTGGACGTGCAGAAATTAAAATGTGCATCGATAATTTCTTTCATTAATTAAAGCTAGTTGGATACTCAATCTTTCTAAACGGCCCAGTTACATTCTTTAATCACAAATAGGAATATCTCTGGTTCGTTTAATTTTTTATGTTTTTTTAATTTTTAGGACAGATAATGGGACAAAATGGTATCATTTCAAAGGTTAGAATTCCTCCAAAATAAATGCGACACAATCGATGATCTACATCAATGACTATCAAAAACCTTTGTCGTCGACTACATCGCCGGCCTAAAAATCTCGACGAAAACGTTGACGAACTACATTAAGGACAATCTACAAGATTATGCGAGTCTAACGACTTTATCGTCTGCCTCAAATTATAGACGAAACAGTCGATGACCTTCATCAATAACTATACATGCTTTATTTTACGTGCCCGTCGACTTCATCGTCGGCCTCACAACCTCCACAAATTACTAGCTATATCTACTAGATTTTCATATGATCATCAATTTCATCATCGGTCTCAAAATCTCGACGATGAAATCAACCACACAATTTTGCATGAGCGTCAGTTTGATCCTCAGCCTCAAAATCAAGACAACCAAATTGACAACCACCGTCAAAGACTATCGTCATTGTTTAGCATGTCTGCGGACTCCATTGTGACCTCAAAATTTAGACGAATAGGTTGATTACCTCCTTCAATGGCTAAATTTGCTATCGACATGATTTTGTCTTATCCATAAATATTCGACTTGGTCTGTCGCCCTTAGAAATTTTTGACTATCAAGTACCAACATGATTTTTCAACCGTCGATTGTATCGTCGAACTTTTGAATAAGTTAACGGGCCACATCAATGACTATTTATGCTTTATATATTATTGCACATGTCCTTCGACTTGTTTCCGGGCCTCACAACGTTCATCAATCTAACAAAATTTTGCTTCTCCGTAAATTGGATCGTCGGCCTCGTTATCTCAATGACAACAATTAATATCTAGTGGAGTTGACGTATTATCGGTCTGAAGAGCTCAATGATTGAGTAATTGAGACCACGGTTCAATCAATTTCTTATTACATGATTTTGTATCTTCGCCGGCTGTGTCATCCACCTAGAGAGCTCAACAACATAAGTTTACCAACCCCGTCAATTTCTTCCACCATAATTTTGCATCCACATTGACTTGAAAGTCAACCCAGAGATCTCAAATACTTATGCTTTGATGAGCCTGAGTCTTCACTCGCCTCTATGGTTATTTCCCGTTCCTCGTCATACTACACTTTTGCTTTCAATAGTTTGAGAAAGTTGCTTCATTATCACACTCTTGTATACATGTATCTACGATTTAGATTAGGCTAGAATTCAACTACATCTTATTCTTCACAAAAATAATAAAGGAGGGGATCAATTTAACCAACAAAAATTGGCACTCTTGTTCATACAACTCAGACGATTATTATTATCCAATTATGAAGAAGAAGATGCAAACGTTTTCTCGACGAAAAAATACTTGCCCATTGAAATATCTAGGCTGGGCTTTTTACTTTCCCATTTAAATATAAGCCCCAACAGCCCAGCCGATGAATACGTTAAATTTTGCAAAAATAAAGCAGGCCCAGTTAACTAGCTTGCATCTACCCCCTCCGGAACTCAAAGTAAACCTTGATCACATGTAAGAAGCTTCGCACATCTATTTCATCTGGTCATCTTCTTCATCTGGTCGCCTTATACATGATCAAAATTAAACATTTGGAACTAATAGTTGCATAATTTCTGCAAATGCAAAGTGCTAATAGTTGGATTACTTGGGATCCCTTCTGCGGGGAGTATGAGAAAACAATTAACGTATAAAATGAACAGCTTCTCTCATCGGAAATAGCTTCCGCATGGTTTATCACTTCCTATGGTTTAAGACATTATTTCATTTTTAAAAATCTGCCGCTGAAAGGAAAACTTGCAAATAGAAATCATCGTATGAAAGGAGACTAATTTCAAACTTTTAAATATAGAATTCGTAGGATCATCGGACTCGTTTTGTGCCGTTTAACAGATCTAATTGTGTGCAAATGACATTTAGATTTTGCTATTGCCGAAAAAGTAAGAAATTACAGCTTACCAGAACCGAAATTCAGCTTTCTTAACTATAGCAAGCTGTAATATCTTCAAACAGAAAAGCTAACAGTTTCCAGTATTATCCAATTTAGTTGCAATGAAGGCTCAGTAAGATAGAAACAAGATAATTCAACCCACGCATCAATATTTAAGACACTGGTCTTTGAAGTCAACCAGAAAACATACTCTTAAATTGTAACATTTGGTCTTCTAAACAGTACAAAATACTTTTAAGCTTAGGCTAAAATTGACAAGGCAAAACTGCTCATAACAGAGAGGTAAAGATGCAGAGATGAGGAACACTGAACGACAGCTTGAATTTAAGACCTAGGCTTTTCCTTCTTCTCCTTGAAGAGAGCCAAAAGAGAAACACCAGAAACCTTGACGACCTTAAACCTAACTCCGGGAATATCTCCCACGGCATGCCCCTTACGACCGAATCCAGCAATAAGCACCTCATCCTATAAGAAGGTTGATATACATTTCATAAGCCTCATACAATTATAAGAAAACGAGACCAATAACTGGTTAACAGTGATTTGAATGAAACCTATAACTTACATTTTCCTCAATGTAGTTCAAACAACCATCATTGGGCACAAAAGCAGCAATCTTCTTTCCATTCTTGATAAGTTGAACACGGGCACACTTTCTAATAGCAGAGTTAGGCTGTTTGGCTTCAATACCACTGCAAAATAATCAAGTTAGAAATGCTCTATCAAGAGGTCCTGGAACAGGAAGGATAAACTATAAGAAGCTCCATCTTACATCTTCTCCAGAACAATTCCCTTGGCATGAGATGAACCAGCAAATGGTTTCTTCCATTCATTACCAAGATGCGACTTCTTGTAAGATTTGTCAGCCCACCTCTGATTCCTTCGGTGGGTCTTCAGTTTACGACCAGCTCCCATTCCACGTGTCTTCCTATAAATGACATCAACATTGAAACAGAGAAAGCAAATAAGCAAAGGCAAATTGCAACTGGATAATAGATTTCAGAGACCTAGTTGTTTATGACTTCAAAAACTTCCACTTCAGTCATTAATTTATCACGCATGAAATTTACAGGGTCTAAAAAACAACTAATGAAGTATAGCTTTATGGAAAAAGAAGATATGGCTACAGAAATCAGGCGAAATAAAGAAAACTTTAATAATTAAAGGATTTAACAAGCTTACATTACAAACTAATTTCTCAAGCATTAATAGAAAGATACAAAAAGGTAGAGCTTTCATAAACCTCAACGCATCAACTGAAAAAACATCCATAAGCAAGCAGAAAGGAAAACCGAATCCAAACAAGAAGCATTTTGGGGTCCAGACAGGTCAAATATGACTATTCCCCCTAAAAACATAGCTCTTGGGGAAGTTCACCAATTAAAACTTCACCAGATGGGACATCCACCTCAGACATACTTTGCCGGAGGAGCTAAATGCTTTCAAAAGAGAGCACACAGTAAACCAGGAAAACAACATGATGTTTCATCTCCTACTGATCTGCAACTCCACAGTTTAGAAGCTGAGGACAGTTTTAGAGCGACATTTGATATGAGCCCATTAGCATTCAAAGCAGCTCATGGCAAGGCTAATCTGCTTTGCCAAGATGGACTCATTTACTTACCCCCCAACAAGCACAGAAAACAAAAGACGATTCACAACACTTTCCAAATTTGAAACCCATCACCAAATCTTCACTCATTAGAATCGCATTTTATTCCAACAAAAGGTAAGAACAATAATCATAGCCTCAATGATAAACGCTACGAATTCCAACCATTTTCCAGAAACAATCCTGTCTTCTCGAGCAGTAAATTAAAAGGAATCACAAATAATCATTGTTTAATAGCATTTTAACACGGCAAGGTTATCATACCGCAAACATTATCTTCTTCTGCTATTTTTTACACGAAAAAAAAAGTTCAAGATTTCTAGTTGACATGAAAATACAACTATGCACATAACATAAGAGACTAAACTACTTCAGAAAACATCATCTCGAGATTAACAAATTCAAACATTTCCATCAAACTAACAAGACTACAAGCCTAACACGCCGTAACAGCAAAGAATCAGAAGAAGTAACGGCGGAGGAGCGATGGATTTACCCCATCTTGTTCGGCGGTTGGCGGTGGCTGCGGCGACGATGTTACGGCTTCGAAGGGAGGAGGAGCTGCTGCTGCTGCACGAGATGGAGAATGAGGCTTAGAGAAACCCTAGGGAATAAGGAATGGGGGTTTTTAAACCTGCCTGTGAACTAACCCTAACTTACTTCGTGAAAGCCGTATAAGCCCATTTAGTTATTGGGTTGGGCTTTATATCTAAAGGCCGGTTTTCTGTGCTTGTTGGGGCTTAATATTCATTTGAATATGTCAATTTTCTTTTCCTCAATTTCCTAGGGTAAAATGGTTATAGTAGTAGTATGGAGATTAATCAATTTAATGATTTTCTATTCTATTACAAATAGTCCGACCAATATTCAAAATAATGGTGATGATGCAGTTTCTTTTATTATTCTTCTTCCCCGAAAGATAGCTTTTCTCATATTTGTTGCCTACGTTTAAAATTTTGATTATTTTTACACTGATTAACAGAAATGAGATGTTTTTGTTATAAGTTTGGTGTCCCTTTTCTTCTCTTAAAATTTAGTGTTATTGTGCTCATGTCTGGGTCAATTTTTTTTTTTTTGGGTACTCCATCCTAAAATGTAAATGTATTTGTTATTTATTTGTCTGAAATAATAATATAACATTAGTTCTTAATTTTGAGAAAGTTTATTTTTTCACGAATGGCAATATAACCTTAGATTTTTTTTTTCCTGATCTTTCTCTCCCGTGTAGGATGCTATTGGAACGTCTTTAGAAGAGATATGCAAAATCGTTCCAGAGGGGTGTCTTGTATTCTTTCCCAGTTACAAGCTGATGGACAAACTACGTAAATGCTGGGAAGAAACTAGTGAATGGTCTCGACTAAATGCACATAAACACCTTTTCATAGGTATAGTTCACTACTGTAGATACTTGTTTAATTACGTTAAACTGTGTGTGTGTGTGTGTGTGTTTTTTTTTTTTTTTTGCACGAATTATTACAACCCATGTTTTTTACTCTTACTCCTTTAATCAGTTACAGTACTGGGTGGACTACATTATGTCTTTCATTTTGCAAATGCATATTGTAAAGATTCTTTTCCTGTTTTTTTTTTTTTTGGGAAAATGGTACCTGATTAATTCAGAAGTACCTATACTATTGCATCAACATGAATTATAAGTCGTACTATGTAGGTCAATAACATCAGATCTACTAACTTTGATTACTTGACATGATTCTTTTCCTGTGATTTGTTTTCCATTTAGAGCCAACTTTATCAAAAAAGAAAATATCAGATATCAGAAGCGGTACACTTAGAGAACATTCGATTCCATTGGTCATTTGCTTCTTTCGTAGAGATCTCAAATGAACTTTGGAAGATGAAGTTAGGGTACACCTAATGCACAAATTATGTTGAGGAAGGCCCAAAGGAGTTTTACACTCTGAGCAAGAGATTCCCAGCCACTTATACCATTGAATGGTACTGAAGACTGTAGGGATCTTCTCTTTTCCTTGTTCAAGTTGATTGTTTCAATATCTATATCCTCACTGCTATGCATATTAGCTTGTGTTGTACAACTTTCCACATATCCAACAGAATCAGGAGTTCTGTCAGGTAAAACCAATATGCTCCTTGTGAACACAGTCAGATGATAGATACCAGGATTTTCTCCTCTTATGTGATAAGAATTAGCACTCAAAGAGCATGGTGACCCTGTTTCTGCTGTTACATTCTTCATTCTGTCATGAACAAGCCTTTCTAGAGTTCTTTTGATTGTTATAAAATATTTTTAAGGTTTTCTCATCGATTAAAAATATGTACTAGGTTAAACATGGGACAAAACAAAATGCATTATATTAAGGATCGGAGGGAGTGTTACAGAGGTTGTTTGCTTAGAGGCCAATTTCATCAAGCTTCAAAGAACATACTGTTCTCTACGAATGGTTAATTTACAAATAAGATTTACCAAGTGTATATTAGTATGCTGTTATTCATCCTGGATAAGTTCTAGAACATGTATTTTAACCGGACTTAATTATAAGAAAGAAAAAAAAAAATTCTCCAACAAGGTTTTGAACCCTTGTCTCATGGTAACCATAATCCCCAATCTGTTCCATCCCGCCCATCCCTCCAACCCAAAAGGCATTTCATTTTTCCATAAACCATTCGCATCAGAATAAGTAAAGTTTCAACAGAAATGGTTGGAAACTTGGCATGACTATTCTAACGTTTCAAAAGCTCATAATGTTGGCAAACTGGCAAACTAGCAAACTAAATACAAGATTCCTCCAACGGTTAAAGTGGAAGATGAAATATATTTAAAGGTTCCGTGTAGTTCACTCGGAGTCTTTTTTAGTGTCACTTTCAAGGTCAATACACATATCTTCCTCGCGTGCGGAGTTCAACCTTTGATCATCCATTTTCGGACAAGCTGGTTTTTCATTTCAGAGTATAAAGACTGGTATGCCATAGAACCATTTTCATCCCCCAAGCTAGAATTGGATACTTTTTGGCCTGACCTACACTGTTTTCATTTTTTTATGATCGCATTTGTATTCCTTTTGTTTTCAGTTATAGAAGAAATTACTTCAACCGCAGGTTTTGAAATTGATGACGATTCAACAGCTTTGTCACATGATCCCGCGTGACCTCAAATTTAGCAATCACAACAGTAAACCATGATACGTATACCTATTCAGATATCATAATCACCTTCGCACTTTTGAAAAATGCTTTTAAATCCTCCAGGGATTTTTCAAAGCTGTCCCAATGTCTAATTAATTTCCTAAACCACTTTAAAATTATGCTCTGTTCCTTTCTTCATAGAAGCGCTCATCTGCAAGTGAAGAATATGTTGAATTAGGAATCATGATCAATAGGATCAAAGGATCATACTTACAATTGAACAGAACTTCAGAACTAAAGAAAACTCAAACAGTAATTGCAACTAAGAAGATGGTGATTTCAAAAAGATAAATTATCAATAAAAAGCACGATTAATTTAGATCTATCAAGCAGTTAGGCAATATTCAGAACTCAGGCATTCTGATAACATTACTATTGTTTGAGTTACCCCTCTAACTCTTGACAAAAACACTAAGTAACACATATATGAAGAAAGAAACATCACGAGTACCTAAATATAGAATGCCTCCATATTCATATCTGTGCCGTATGAAGGCCCTAAAAAATAACGCAGTGAGCCTCGCATTGGAGAAAAATTATAATTTCAACGTACGAAAGGAGCATATAATTATCACATGCCATCTATCTCCAAACTTGTAATAGCCATTCTTCTGTTAATGTATATAGAGTTAGGGTTATTATATTAACATGGGGTATATATAGTACAACAAGAGATGTACAATTACAACAATAACCTTAACTCTATACATATTGTACATCTCTTGTTGTTATATATATTCCCCATGTTAATACAATAATCTTAAGGGTTTTGGATCTTTCATGGTATCAGCCTTCTTGGGGCCGTCATTTTCTTGCCGCCTCTATTCCTTTGCCAACGTCCATCACCTTCTTTGTTGTTGATTCCTCCTATTGTTGTAGTTCCGTCTCTCATCGTTCATCATCGACGACACCGAAGCTGTTATTCTTCATCTTCTTCGTCAGTCGTTATTATCCGGTGCTGCTGCTGCTCTTTTTCTACCGTCCCCATTGTTCTTCATCAGGCCCTTTGCCGCGGTTGCTGGTTGCTGCTGTTTGTTTTCGACGTCTGCTCTTCCTGTTCTTCTCTGCTGTGCTATTATCCGACGTTACTGATTGGGAGCTGCTTTTGCTGTTTGTTTCTCTGCTGTTCGGGGTGTTGCTCTTGTTGCTGTCTTTTGCAGTTGCTTGTTCACTTCTTCCGTTGTTGTTGTTGCCACTCTTCACCACAGGGTTCTTTGTTGTTGCTGCTTCTTCTTTCTCTGTTGTTCTTTGCCTCTGTGATGACTCATCAAGCCCCTTCCACTACGTCAGTCATACCAACCCCTGCTGCTACTCACGAGACAATTCTCTCTACCGCGATACTGACTCCCATGATGACATCTTCGTATTCCTCTTTGCGTCATCCGGCTTTCTCTCTCACAAACATAAAGAATCATGTCTCTGAAGTGCTTGATTTCACAAATTATCTTATTTGGCATGAACTTTTTATTCCGGTGCTTAAAGGTCATCAAGTCTATAATCATGTTGACGGTTCTTCTCCTTGTCCTCTTTTCACCGATCCTGGTTTTGTTGAATGGGTTCAAGTTGACACACTCATTCTCTCTTGGATCCAATCCACTCTATCTCGTGAGAAACTTCGTCAAATCATCACGCCAGGTACTCCTCTGACTGCTCATCTTGCTTGGGAAAAGATTCAAAAGATGTTTCGTGATCATGTTCAATCTCGCATTGTTTATCTTCGTCAAGAATTTTATCATTTGGAGAAGGGTTCGTTTTCTATGTCAGCTTTTTTAGATAAACTGAAAGAGTTATATGATTGCTTGGTTTCAATTGGTGATTCAATTACTTATCGTGATGTGGTAATGCAAATTGTCATGGGTTTGGGTTCAGAATATAATGCTGTTACTTCTAACATTTCTGCTCAAAAATCTCTCCCTTCCTATGATGAATGTTGTATTGTGTTGTTATTGGAGGAGGCTAAGTTACTCAAGCAACAACAGCGATCTTCTTCAACATCTGTATTTGTTGGTCAACCTGGTCCTTTGAATTCTGCTTCTGTGAATCCTACTGTTGTCCCGGTCGCTGCACACTCGGCGGTAGCCAGTTTTCAGCCCAGGCGTGGTGGTTCTTCCGACGGTCGCCGTGGAGGTGGTCGGCGCGGTGGTCATGGAGCTTGGCCTGCTCTAACCTTTTCTCAGCCGGTTCGACCATTTGGTGGCGGTTGGTCTGCTCAGCCGCCGCGTTCGTCTTTTGCTACTCCTGGGTTGCTTGGTCCTTCTCCACTATCTTCAGTATCTCAGGTTGCTGCAAATTCCTTCCAGAATCCGGACCAGTGCTACAACTGTCGGGGGTTTGGTCATATTTCCCGTTTTTGTCCGTCAGTTCCTCTCGGCTCTGCATCTTCACTACCTGGTTTTACTGCTTCTCCGGCTTCTTCCTCTAATGTGAATCCATGGCATTTTGATTCTGCAGCTGGTGTTACTATGACTCCGGATTCGGTAAGCTTATCACTTCTTCTTTGTATATTGGTGCAGACAAAGTGTGTGTTGGTACCGGTGCCATGTTACATATTAAATCCCTTGGTTCCTCTGTCATTCTTTCTCCCTCTCGTCCTTTATATCTAAATAATGTGCTTCATGTCCCTTCTCTGATGCAAAACTTAATTTCTGTTCGCCAATTTACTATTGATAATAACTGTTCTGTGGAATTTGATCCTCTTGGTCTTTGTATTAAGGATCTCACAACGAAGACTCCACTTCTTCGGTGCGATAGCTCAGGTCCATTACATACGCTTGTCTTTAGTTCATCTTCCTCTTCCGTATTAGCTCTTGCTGCTCCCTGCACAAGTCCTCTCACTTGGCATCGCCGTTTAGGTCATCCTGGCCCTCGTGTCTTAAATAAACTAGCACGTAGTTCTTCAATTTCTATTTTGCACCCATGTTCTCATTTAGATTTTTGTCATGCATGTCAACTTGGGAAGCATGTGCGCTTACCCTTTGACTCTTCTTTGTCTCATACTAGTTCGCTGTCATTTCTCCTACTGGATACAAGTACTTTGTGACATTTTTTTTTTGATGATTTTACTCATTATTGTTGGATTTTTCCTCTTAAATCCAAGGCCATGTATTCTCTTGTTTTTGTCATTTTTATGCATTTGTCAAAACTCAGTATAATGCTTCTATTCGTTCTTTTCAATGTGATCAAGGGGGTGAATATGAAAATAAATCTTTTTGGACCTTCTTCAAAAATAATGGCACTCATCTTCGTTTGTCTACCACTGCCTGTTCCCAGCAAAATGGTAAAGTTGAGCGTCTTAACCGCACTATTGTCAACATAATTTGAACTTTGTTATTCCAAGCATCCATGCCTTCTCATTTTTGGGTTGAAGCTCTTCGTACCGCTACTTATTTACTTAATCGCCTTCATACACCGCTTTTGTCACATAAAACACCATATGAGGTTTTACACCTTAAACCCCCTTCTTATACTCACCTAAGCACTTTTGGTTATGCATGCTATCCAAATCTTTCTCACTCTGCTAACCATAAGCTAGCACCTCGTTCTACCTTATGTGTTTTTCTTGGCTATCCACTGAATAATAAGGGGTACCCTTGTCTTGATCTCACCACAAATAAAGTTCTCATTTCACGTCATGTTGTGTTTGATGAATCAATCTTCTCTTTTACCTCTCTTCCTCCTACTATTTTTTCTTCCTCCTCCCCTATCCCTCCCTTTTGTCCTCCTTGGTATTCGGTTCCTCCTGCTTACTTCCTATCTCACGTACATCTTTCTCGGTTCCACCTTTTTTCCCATACTCTTTATCGGATCCTCTTCCTTCGTCAGCTTCTCCAGTCTCTAACACCTTTCTTTCCCAATCTGCCAGTCCTCCTGTTCCGGGTCCTTCTTCACATCCCATATCTCAACATCCCATGGTCACTCGTGCCAAGGATGGTATTCGCAAGCCCAAGGTGATTTTTAATTTAGCTAGTATTGTTGCTAACTCTCCTTTGCAGGCACCTACTACATTTTGTGAAGCTGTGAAGTGTGATGAGTGGTAGCAAGCGATAAATGATGAAATTGCTGCCTTGTCTCGTAATGACACCTGGACCCTTGTTCCCAAACCTCCTGGGGTTAATGTAGTTGGCTCCAAATGGGTGTTTCGCATCAAAGAAAAGGCCAATGGATCTTTGGATCGCTACAAAGCAAGACTCGTAGCTCTGGGTACTCTCAGCAACCAGGTGTTGATGTTGGTGATACTTATAGTCCAGTTGTTCGTCTTACCATTATTCGCACAGTCTTGTCTTTGGCTCTATCTCGCAACTGGCCTATTCATCAACTAGATGTAAAAAATGCTTTTCTTATTGGTCTCTTGCACGAATTTGTCTATATGAAACAACCTCCAGGATTTGTGCATCATCAGCATCCTGACTATGTTTATAAGCTCAATTGTGCTCTCTATGGTCTTAAGCAAGCCCCTCGGTCTTGGTTTCAGAGGTTTGCGTCCTTCATCACTACTCGTGGTTCCCGATCTTACAAGTCTGACTATTCTATGTTTGTTTACCAACATGGTAGGGATATGGCAGTTCTTCTTCTCTATGTTGACGACATTCTTCTGACAGCTTCCTCTGTGTTCCTGTTGACTCCCATTATTGCTCAGTTACGCGCGGAATTTGTTATGACGGACCTAGGTGACTTGCATTATTTTCTTGGTATTTCTGTTTCACGTACTCCTGATGGTCTCTTCCTGTCCCAATCAAAATATATTGCCAGTCTTCTTGATCGGTGTCATCTTATTAATACCAATCCAGTTACTACTCATGTTGATACTAAAGCTAAGTTATCTCAGTTTGATGGGGAGTTATTTGATAATCTATATGAGTAGTGCAGTCTTGTGGGGGCACTTCAGTATGTAACATTCATTTGCCCTGATATTGCTTATATCGTGCAGCAGGTTTGCTTGTTTATGCATCATCCTCGAGTGTCTCATTACCAGGCCCTGAAGCGTATCTTATGCTATTTGAAGGGTACTCTTCACTATGGTCTTTACCTTCTGTCTACCCCTCTTGATAAATTGGTGGCCTATTCTGAGACTGACTGGGCTGGTTGTTATGATACTCGTCGCTCTACCTCTGGCTATTGTATATTTTTTTGGCTCTAATCTTATCTCTTGGTCTTCTAAGAGGCAACCTATTGTTTCCAGTTCTAGAGCTGAGGCGGAATATCGAGGAGTTGCGAATGCTGTTTTTGAAGTTTGTTGCCTTCATTCCTTACTTTCTGAGCTATGCATTCGACTACCTACTGCCACCATTGTCTTCTATGATAATATCAGTGCCATCTTCTTGTCTACAAACCCTATTCAGAGTCAACGTATCAATCATGTCGAGATTGATACCCAATTTGTTCGCGAAAAGGTTGCTTAAGGGTCTATTCGTGTTCTCCATGTTCCTTCTTCTCACCAATTTGCTGATATTATGACTAAAAGTTTGCCTCATGTCCTTTTTACGAAGTTTCGAGACAATCTGAACGTTCGTGTTCCTCCCATTCAGATTGCAGGGGGATGTTAATGTATATAGAGTTAAGATTATTGTTGTAATTGTACATCTCTTGTTGCACTATATATACCCCATGTTAATACAATAACCCTAAGGGTTTTGGATCTTTCATCTTCACCGATCTAAATTTCCCATTCGATATTCCTGTAAATCATTCTTATCCACAACTCAGCCAAATTTAGGCACATAACTACACACTAAAAAAATTATTGAAAAAAGAAAAGGGAAAAAAGGGCTAGACTGTTATTCTTATCATCTGTGACTGCACATGGCAACTTCGACTTTGTCTGTTTTTCATTTGGAGAAAAGCTAGCTGTTTTGACACCCAACCCCATCTTCCAAAAAAAGTATAAATACCAAATGTTGAGATTCATATCTTAAAACTTAGATTTTTTTCCAAAATTCATGTCACATTATTTCAGAATAAAAATAAAATGTACTTGCATCCTACCATTTTCTTTTCCATCCTTCTCCCTTAAAAAAAAAAAAAATCGTAATCTTTACAAGAAAGTACACAAACAGAGCCTTAAAGATGGAACTAAAATTATCTATAGAGAAGCAAATGACTACATCTTGCTATTTGGAGCAGGAGAAAAGTAGTACACTGTGCAATTCTTATGACCATATAGATTTACAAGTGAACAAGACACTGTTTCAGGAAATGGAAAGGCAGAAGAAAAGATGACTGATAACTTCAGATCACATGAGCTGCAGTACTTTTATTTGCAGTAAAAATGACTAGACTAACTATATATATATCTATGAAATGTGTAAACTCAAAATATCTTTAGCACTTAACACACTACATTATCCCATAGTAGTGGGGAGTATCTGTAGCCTGGTTAAGGGCTCGAAATGGTTGATTACAGTACCACTCGTTCCCACTTAGAAGTCCCTAAGATAATGTGAATGTATCATTGAATTTCATGTTTTGGATGTCATGTCTGCATGATCAAGAAGCCATAAGTGAATTCGTAAAAATAGATACAGCTTCAATAACCAATGAGAAAAAAATTTGGGGAACATATTCACCTCAAACCCCACAACTTTTGATCTTTTACATCAAAAAGCAAAGGCTAAATAAGAAAGGATACAACAAATCGAGCATTGTCATCGGAGAAGTCCATGCCTTCAGAAAATCTGTAGAGGCGAATATGATGAATTCAGGAATCAAAAATACAAAATACTAAGAGAAAGGAAATAGGGCATACAAAGAGCAAAGCAAACAAACTTTGATATAAGAACACCAGGACAGTATGGACAAGTAAGAAATGAAGATAGAGTCCTAATGGACAGAGAAACAGTAAGTGGACGGAAGCCATATAGATTTTCTGATTTTCTTTTTTTAGTTTCTTTGTTTTCGATGATGAAGAAAACTTGTTTTGTGTTTAAGGCCAAAGTAAGCTCCCCTGTATAGTGTTCTCTAGTCCCACATCGGAAATCTTTGAAATGGTTCATCACTATTTAAGAAACTGCAGATGTGGCGAAGGATATTCAACTGCAGATGGCGTGAATGGGCTTGGTTCCATTTCGATGGTTCTGGCTCAGGAAAGTCCCCGGGCCTTTTCCGCAGAGATGCGGGCCCGGAAACGGGGTAACCTTCACGGGCTTGGATGTTCCTTTGGGCTGAGACACGTGTGGAGCCTGAACTCCAGCCCTGAAGCAACTTGGCCGAACAACAGTTATTCACGTGCTCCTCCTAAACCGGACTAACAGAACGGGGCTTACAATCTGCAGTTTCTCTTTTTGATTTTTTTTTATTATGTTTCTAAAATTCATTTTCTTGGGACGGATTGGTAATTTTTTTTTTTTTTTTTGCATATTTGTGTGGTTCTATAATGTTTTTTTGAATATAAAATCAATCATGATTCTTATTATCTACTTTTGTATAATTCTTATTTTCTTGAAATGGGTTTGTAAAATTATTGTTTTTTACATGTGTACTAATTCTATAATGTTTTCCCGAAAATAAATCAATCATGATTAATGTATGTGTTCCTTGGGGCATTATTTATCAAGTTGGAATCCGATTTATCATTTCTTGGAAAACAAATACTCCATGCATTCCATAATTATTGTCCAGTTTAGATCTTTATTTTTAGTTTAAATTGTACTAAAAGTGAAATCTCAAACTGGACAATAATTTTGAGACAGAGGGAGCATCATTTTTAGTTAGATTTTATGTTGTGTTACAAATAGGAGTTAGTTTTTCCATTTCATGTGGAGTCACAAATAGAAGTTAGTTTAGGTTGCCTGCTTTCCGACTCACATTTCTCTGTGTCTTGTCTAACTTCGTGTGCTTTTTCCTTATGATTGTTTGATATCCATTTGGTACCTCTGCAAAAGTCTAGCCTAACATTATCTATGAATGTCCAACCATTCAGAAAGCTGATACTAGTAGTCATTCATATAAGAAATTAGAAGTCCAGCTTCATTTACCAACAATCTACCAGTTTAAAAACAAGACTTCTGGGAATAGATAGATATGTTGCTTTTAATATCATCAGTACTTACTAGCCATAATATTACACAATGCCCGCTTACTTCTGAGGTTTCCTCCACAGAACACCAATCTTTTTAAGCATGTTGGGGCTTTTCCTTTTCAGCAAATCATCATCCCCGTCGTCGGAGTAAGGCGAAGGAATTCTTGCAGACCTAGGACTGTACCGGCTGTCCATTGATCCTGTCCGGTCCATGAATTTCCCATTGTTTCCTGTCGAGAGCATTGCTGCAGCCGCTTCTGCAGCCTTCCTCCATTGATCAGACTGCACTTTGAGCCTCCTCAGCTCGGCTTCCATCTCAGCATTTGCTGCCTGAGCTGCATCCAATTGCTCGGATACTCGTGCTACCCTCCTGTTAGTCTTGTCAACTTCCTCTGTCATGTAACCTAGCTTCATCAGAGCCTCTCGCTCCGCTGACCTTGCAGCTTCAAGTTCATCAGCAATTTCATCATCGACTTTGCCCTTATAAGACTCCCGTTTCTTGATTTCCAACTTCAGCATTTCATTTTCCTCCAGAATGTTCTGCACTTCTGTTTCTCTGTCCATTAGATCAGCTTTCACATGTTCAACTTCGGCCCTTGCTTTCTGAATCTCCTTTTCAAGTTCCAAGTTTGTAGAGCCAGACAGCGCACTCTCTAGCTTTTGATTCAGATCCTCATTCTCCTCACAAATACCCTGCAACTCTGTCTCTTTATCCATAAGATGCGCCTTCAACTCATCAACTTCAGCTTTAGCCTTCAGGAGCTCCTTTTCGAGTTCAGCTTCTTTGTCAATAGATGAAGACTTAATTTGTTCAACCAAGTCATGAGCGCTGTTCATCTCATTAGCAATTTGAGATTGGGCTTCATTGTATCTTGTTTCGGATGCTTCTAAAGCAGATCTTAGTTGCTCAATTTCACATTTCAGAGAAGTAAGTTCTTCTTTTGACTTTGCAAGTTCTTCATGATCTGAAGATTCCAGTTTGATCATATAATGATTCTCTGCAGCATTCTGGGAACCATTACTGTCAGCATTTCTCAAATCAGCTTTTAGTTTGGTAACAACCTCCTCCAAGGAGCTCACACGAGCCCTGGACTGCTCCAGCTCGGAAGACATAGCATCATATGCTTCAACAGCTTTAGCACCATCCAACCTAAGGGACTCAACCGTTATTTTGGCTGTTTCCAGTTGCATCAGGGTTTCACCAACAACTTTTTTGGCTTGAGCTTCTGATTCTTTGGAATCTTTGACCTGATTTTTCATGTCTTCCACAAGTGCGAGAGTTTCTGTGAGGTTTATCTTTAAGCCATCTATCTCCGTTTGCGATAGTTCAGCGCGCTTTGTCTGGGCTGCCTCGGATTCAGCCACAGTTTCCAGCTGGAGCTTAAGCGAGTTAATCTCTTCCAAAGCAGATGCTAATGATGCTGAGTCAATTAATTGCTGTTTCTTGATAGTTTCAAGCTGAGACACCAAGGCGATGTCCTGATCTCCAGAGGCATTCTGGGGTTGGGTTTCTTCAATATTAGACTTCTCTAAGAGCTGTTTATGGGACTCTTCAAGCTTTAAAGACAGTTCCAAAAGCTGTTTCTTTGATTCATCAGCTTCCTGTTCAGCTTGCTTTTTCCCTGCTTCGGAAGAACTCAGCTGTTCCTTAACTTTCTTTAGGTCATTCTGAAGTTGAGAAATCTGGAATTCCAGTTCAGCAGCCTTACTTGGATGCTTCTTAGGCACCTGGCATAGAGATATTTTTATTAGAAACTAAAGTTAATATTATCAGTTTGCAGTGACTTCAGTATCAATATGACTTTCAAAAAAGTATACATTATGCATTTGGAGTCCAGACAAGAAGAAAATAAACAGGCAAAGGACTGAGGTAGCAGGAAATCAAACACAGTAGGGGACATACTTGAGCTACTACAAGCTTGAAGAGAGACGGATATAGAAGCAATTACACAAATAGATTAAGAGATCAGCAAATGAAGCCTCACCTTATTGAAGATAACAAATTAAAAACATAACAATGAGTGACTACTCTCATTTACAGTAATACGAGATGATAAATGCCTGGAATAGTGGGTATCCATTAAGCTCTATCATATAGGACTACAGCAGGTTATTACCCGAAAAATGCATCGAACACATCAAGGGTAGCTGTGAATAACAAGTATCATCACATTATCCATTTGCAAGGCACATGCATAATTCAATAAAGCTGAAGAACATGATAGAAGTGAAAAGTGATTCAGGTTTGTGGCAATCGAAAATTAAATTACTGCCCGACCTCAGATGCCGGGCTTCGTGGTGATTTTCTCTCGGTCACTTTAGAGCTTCTATCTTTTGGTGTCCTACTAGCTCGAGTGGATGAAGAAGCAGAGTCAGAATCCTGGGAGCTTGTCTTGAGTTGGCGAACAACCCTTGGAGAAAGCTTCAGCGGCACTTCTGCAGGATTGCCACGAGGTGATATCTTTGGAGTTGTGCCAGATGAGACAGCTCGAGAGCAAACTTTCAGAGCTGGTTCAGCACTACTGTTTCTGCAAAAGAAATTAGCTAAGAATGATCAGAATCAAAAGCTTAACATTCGTGAACCAACATTAAATGGTTACCTGCATTTTTTAGAGCTAGAAGACTAGAACAAGCAACCATATCTCGGAGGAAATGGTAATGAAATCAAAATCAATAACTATCATAGCAGTTACCCTCTCATATTTAGAAAAAAATCTGACGACCAACTCTCATAAGAATTAATTATTACTTGAAGAGATTATATGATCAGAGGAAGTTGATGGCAAGCAATTCCAAGATTCTACAGTAAAATGGAAAGCAACACATTCACTATAATGAATAGATGTACAGCAACATATTCCCTATGATAAATAGTACAAGTGTCTAACTCAATGGAGTACCATCAAATCATAAATGAGATGGGCTCCTGAAAACAACTGACAAAGACCATCAGCCACTCAAAACAATGCCGGAAATTGTCTTTTGGTTCAGGGAGTGAATCGACAGATGAATGTGAAAGTGAGGAATTACCAAACAACAAAATTCAGCATGGCGAAGGCAAACTATTTCTTCCTCAGTATGTGCAACTTTAGATGGCATACAACTTGAATGAATTACCAGGCACTTTTAAGTACCAATTTCAACATTGATGAAGGATGGATTTGACATTAAAATTACCTTGATTTGGGCGTCTGCATATTTTAACAACCTTCTAACCACCAAATGCAGCTGGGATTTAAAGATAGCTTTTTTTTTCCTCCTTTCAAAAAATGAATAAAACTACTTGAATGCAGCCTGACCCACAAGACCTGCAAAAACTACAGAAGCATCACAAGGTATGGTACAGTTAAACACAGGAAAGAACGTGGAGTATCCAATGTGAGTAAATGCACAAGAAGAGTGAAAAAGCCTCTATACTCTCTACCAACATTCACTGTATTTAAGAACCCATATGGAGGATTTACTATCCCACATCTCTATATCCATTTGGGATAACAAAAGGGATAGATGATTGAAGGGTTCCCTCTCATACAGGCAGAAGAATTCTTCATGAACCACAAAAGCATGATTAAATGCCTATTATAATTGCCATCACAAGGCATGCACATCTACAACAGACAGCAGGACCATTTTACAAACAAAATTTACCACCTGGTTGAATAGTTCTGAATACTCATTAAAAGAGATGGATAAAGCCTCTCAAGTGGGCCATTTGGGTAAAATTAATGACCCCTTTGAGGAGACTTTTGTCAAATAGATGACTCCATTTCCGCCGGAATCAATGGTAATATTTTAATACTCAAAACTACAGTAACGGCAAAACGACATTTAAGAAGCGTAACCAAAAAAAAAAAAATCTCCATGGATGTCTGAAATGCAGCAGAGAAGTGAATTACACTGTTTCAGATGTAAAATTACACAAACCTGGGACAATAATTCAGATGTACATTGCAAAGATTCAAATTTTCAACCAAAATTCAACTTGATTACACAGAGACACACACTAGAAGGAGGTGGAAAGTGAAGAAGTATAATGCAGGGGTAGAATAAGAAAGTTACAAAAAGACACACGATAGGAAACAAACACCATAAACAAAAAAGATTACTGGAGACTGAAAAGGGTCTACCAGGCTTTCCAAGATTCGATTTTTTTAATAGGGGTTTCAAAAAAGATCTGTTAACAAAGCATACTAGAGACTGATTTGCTAGCAACACATCAAAGCATGAACAGCAGACTGGCTAGCATTATCAAAAAGGGAGGAAGACCATTCATTCTTAAGGCCAAATTCCAAAAAGGGCTTCAAGAAAAGATAGCATCATTACCTCTACCCTGTTACTCTGTACATGAAAAATGGTGGATTTGTATTGTACTAGTAGTAACAGAACTCAAAAGTAATGGCTGATAAAACAATGAGAAATTAAGACCAAATAATCAAAAAGCACTTTAAAACCACGGTTAGCTTCTTTTGGGAAGCTTTTAAAGCATTTTTGCTTTAACATTGTCCAAGACCCAAACAGGGATTACAGGATAACAAAAGAAACAAAATAGAAATCCTGCAAAAGAAAAAAAAAAATTGACCATGGCTTGCTGATCTCGAGAAGATAAATGGGGGGCAGGTAAAGGTCATTAAAATTGAAATAAGGGACGCACAATGCAGATTCGTTCTTACCAAGAAAACCCGTGAAAAATGGAGGTCAAGGGAGAGTCAAACAAGAAGATGCAGAGAGAATGTGAGCTGAAATTTTTCACTTAGAGAATTTTTCAGAAATTCAGACAGAAAGAAGAAGAAGCAACAACAAAAGAACAAGCAAATTAATGGGAAGAGGAAGAAGAAGAGGAAAGAGGCCGCATTTGGCTTTGGTCTGCCTAATGCAATTTGTCTTTTAAGACTCAGAATCTAAAAAGAGGTGGTGGTTTCACTGAGCTCGAAACTCGAGGTAATGGACTAGGATAGAGAGTTTTCTCTCACACACAGTCACACACTCACTCGTGCTACTGTGTTTGTTTGTGTCCATTTTTGAATTTGATAATCCGATATTTTTCAACAGGGCAGGTAAGTAAAATATGCATGGCCTTGACGTACGTTCCTTTCTTCCATTATTAACGTGCTTGCTAGCAATAGTAGTTGTTAGAGATGTCACAATTCCACTATCCTTTTCTCCTATAAATATATTTTATATTGTTATTGTCAATTTCATTTATAACATAAATACATTTAGTGGTAGATTTTGACATCGGTGCTAATGAAATGGTTTCCCGTCAATATTAATATTTCTTCTGTCTCAAAAAAATAGTACCGAAAGAAATATACATCATCAATCATTCATGCCGTTCATTAATGGTAACCTTGTAATTCATTCCTTTGTTGAAAGTACTTTTTTTCCACACTAATCACCTGTTCTATTGAATTTCAATAAGTTGACAAAAAAACACTTGTAATATGAAATTGGATTGTGATTAAAAAAAGATTTTTCACTTCTTATGACCATTTTCTAAAAATCTGTTTTTTTTGCACAAATTTATATTTTCAAATCGGGAGAGAGTTAAACGGAAGGGAAATACGAACTGAAAACTCAAATTGCATCGAGGGTGTCCTTTACTAATTGCATATAATATAAAGAGTAAGACAAAAAAAAAAATGAATAGCTTTTGTCTTTTACTCTGAGGAGCGTTTCCTTGTTTAGTCAAATTGCTACTATTTGTGAAGTTGTGATCCCATTTTCTGATTTTGATAGTAACACCACTAGTATAAGATGGTGAATTAGGTTTGTGTTGCCATTTTAATGTATAATAGTGTTTGGTTGGTAAAGAGTAAGTATTAACGTTTCTGTCGGGGATTAATTTGAAGTTTTTGCAAAATAAGTTGATTATGGTGAATAAAATCGTTGCCCATATGCCCTACAACAACGAGATTCTTTTGGTTTTAGGATTTTGTTTGTATTGTATGAGCATGACACTTCAACAACCAAAGTTCAAGAGAGGCATATGCATGAAAGATAATCATTTGTCTGCCCCAAATGTAACTTCAATATCCCTTGCCAAAATAAAATAAGTTCTTTTGTTAGTTTATTACACTTATTTTTTCTTTTTTTTTTTTTTTTTGCTAGAATGTAAATACTTCAATCACAAATCATAAGTATTTCCTTCATTCTGATATTATTGTCCAGTTTGAATTTTTTATTTTTGACACTTTGATTCAGTGATTGCCAAGATATATCATTGCATTTCATTTAAATCCGATGGCTTTAACGGTAATTCAGTATTATGGATACTACGATATATATGAAGCAACAAGAACGTGATATTGTAATTTTATGTCCCTATAATGTTATGCATTGGTTAACATGTATGTTAATCTCAGTTAATGTAGTTTTTGCGATTTTAATTATGATATACAAATTTAAACGGGATTTAATTTTATTTTGATACCTTATCCCTTTTACCCTATTTAAAGCAGAATACAGGATGTAGATGTGGCAACTTCTTATTAAAAAAATTTGGCTCCAAATGCACCATATTGCTTTAACCATTATGCCACGCGTCATCCCTTTTTAAAAGAAAAAAAAAACTTCTTATCTGAAAAAACAAAAGCTAATTTACAAAAATAGCTACACAATTTTAACTCATAACACTTACCATTTATCAATCAAATTAAGATAGGATTTAAATTTGTCCATAAACTTATCCCTTTTATTTATTCCACATTTTTCTGTATGATTTCTGCATCGGTGTACTTTTTAATATTTTTTCTTCTTTTGCAGATGATTTTTTATTTTTATTTTTATTTTTGGCTAAAAAAGGAAAAAATAAATGTGTAGCTATTTTATTTTTTCCAAATCAAAAATTCATTTATCTATTAACACAAAATTAAAGTAGAGGGGGTAACCGGGCATCTGACTGGGCCAAGCATCTAGTTCATATTAAATAAATAGACTGCACTCTCAAAAGCTCAAACAAAACATGCATTAAAAAAAAAAAAAAAAACTTCCCATAAATTCCCGAGGTAAAGAAAAGGGGCCAGTCAACTTATATTTTTGTAATAACTTGAAAATGATCCAGCGGGCTTCTCCTTCATGCTATGCTGGGCCAAGTAGAGTTCATCGGCCTAGTATTAGAATCCAAATGTGGATTTTACAGGCGGTGGGTTACTACTCTGTAATTTCGATGTCCAATTTATATCGGTACAGTTTCACAAGATTGGTTATAAGCCCAAAACGGAGGGATTTTCCAGAACATGAAGTTGGATGTAATAGAAAAACCACCGAAAAAAATGGGCTGGGTCAGTGAATGCAGTGACATAGTAGGTCATTTTCAAAGTGCAGTCTCATAGAGCACGCACTGGGGTTGCAATCTTAGAAAAAATAATATTAGACTAGCCCAGCTCAACTCATCTCCGATGAGTTGCTTTTGTAATCAAAGTTTCGGCTTCTCATCTATATCCTACTATATTAAAAACAAAAACCTCCCTTTCAAACACCTCATATGATTGCCACGTGTCATGTAGAAAATACTAAATTGTCCTTTTGTCTAACCATAACTAAATTACTAAATCTCTCTTTGCACTTTACGTGACACGTTTTTTTTTTAATTTTTTCTTTATGTTTCATTCAACTAGAGTGATTTTTTACATTGAATTGATCAATTAGGTTTTTTGTTACAAAGTGTCAATTTTGTTTAAGCGTATACCATTCGGATGAAACATATTACAAAGCTATTAAAAATCTCCAAAACTAAGTATTGATTTGGCACGACCAATGGATAACATCAATAAATCATCTTACTAATATTTAAATTTATTAGGATACTTTTATATTTTATCTAACATTTACTTCAACACATATATTCGATTAAGCTATTTATATTTAATAAGTAACACTTATAAAACATTTCTAAAACATACATGGCGAAATACAATTTATTTATTTTTTTTGCGAAATACAAATATTTCTATGATCACACTTATAAAACATTTCTAAATCCTTCAAAAATTTCTAAAATATATCGCTCCAAATACAAAATTTTATTTTTTTCAAATATAAACATTTCTAAGATCTACAGATAGACTGGGCCAGGGTATTGCGCGACCAGACATCACTAGTATATATATAAAAGGTGCAGTCTCATAAAGAAAAATAAATAAATCATGCGGACAATGTATGAGTTTTGATTTTCATATTAATTTTTATTTGATACCAAAGAAAAAATGTCTTAACAATATAAGGAAACAAAATCTTAAAAAATGTCAATAAAAGAAAAGAAAGAAATGCAGATCCAAAACACGACACAAAATAAGTGAGTAAATGATACCTGATTCTTACTGTCCACCCAATGCCTCCATTTTGTGTTATCGTCCGGTGATTGTAGGTCAGACCAAAGTAAAGAAAATCGATACAGAGAGTCACATAGGAATAGGAGTATAGGACAGAGAATGATGCGGTTTGCTTATTCGACCAGTTAATAACTTAGGGCTTGTTTGACCAACATTTTATTTTGTATTTTGTCCCATTTTACCTTTTAAAACACCCCTCAAGCACAAAACTCAATATTATCTAAATAAATTTTTAATTTACTTTTGAAAATTTATTTCAAACATTATTTTTACACAATTTGTATCCACAACCACCGGACCACCTCCGTCGCCGGATCGCGCATCATCGTCGCTGTCGGCCGGTTTCTGACTAAATTCCGGCCAACTTGCCAGAATTCTGTGAAAAACCGGCCGACCGACGGCCGGTGGTGGCGGCAACAGTAGAAGTGGTCCAGTGATAGTGTAAAAATATTATTATTTTATTTAAAATACTATCCAAATAATTTTTTAAAATTTCTCTTAAATCACCTTTCAAACTCAAATTAAAAATTAAAATAAATTATTGTCCAAACAAGCCCTAAAGTGACTCTACTCCCCTCGCAAAACTTTCGTTACTGGGTTAATCAAGGAAGAATTCAATTTTCATCATCCTAGCGTTTTACGGTCTATTAATTAATAGGTTGGTCAAATAAAAAATTTTATACTATCTTTGTCTAAAAAAATAGTGCAATTCTATACTATCTTTTTCATCATCCTTCCGTAGAATAATTTACATTTCTCACGAAAATACATAATAACATTTTTTGTTTTTTCTTAAAAAATAAATCACGTATTTGTGATGCCAATATAACGGCAATAACCGACCAATCTTAGCAAATACTTCCATCTTATGGGGCCCCTACTATTTTTTGGTCTAAACTCTTTAGATTCAATTTTTGAAAATTATTGCAGACGATATTTCTAAATATTTTCCCCCAAATTAAAATGTGTTTGGGGTCAAAATGTTAGGTGTTCATACTTGGATGACAATCATTGCAAGACATTTTTAAGCAGTTGATGCTGCCCACGTATGACAAGTTAACATCACTATAATTGCATCAACAACTGATTTTTTTCTTTCTCAAATACTACTCCCTCCATTTTTTTTATATGTCTTTTCAGAGAAATCATCAAAATCAAGAAAATATTAATTAATGTAGTTAAAATATAAAAATATCCTTATTTATTGTTTATACAATTCATCATAAACTAATAAAAATTTATTATAAATACTGTTTCATTTCCAATGTAAGGGTAATATTAGTAAAAAATGGTCAAATATGCCTCGATTTGTGAAAACGACATACATTAAAAAAAAATTATCTAATCCTAAAACGACATATATTTCAAAATGGAGGGAGTATTATTTTACGTAATCATTAATCTATGTACTACTACTACTATTATTTAAAAAAGGTAATCAATACAAAGTTGACAATTTGATCTGTGTTTTATTTTAATTGTTGATCTCTCTTCCAAGTAATTTGTAGCCATAAAAGCACTTCTATTTCTATCACGTTGAGTGCGAAGTTAGTAAATACAAACAGTGTACACGGCGTAGTTCTTTTTTCTAAGTAGTGTGTAAATTTCTGAGTCAAAGTTAGAAAACAGAGGAGTAAGATTGTATTTCAAACTTTATCATCAGTTGTGATATTAATATTACGATGACATATTCTTAATTGTGTTTACATACTTCAGGTTGTATTTTCTTGTTTATGGTAGAAATATTGCTAATTTGTTTCCATATTTTCAATTACACTTCTTAAGTTTTCATAATTAAAATTGAAAGTTGAACAATTAGAAAACTAGTTTTACAATAAAATTAGAGCAGCATATAATACCATTAATAAATGAATGATATATTTTCTTCTATATTTTGATATCCAGGAAATTTTTTCCGATTTGCTAATCTTCATTTCGTTTCCCCCAATACAGCGCTACTCTTTTGTGTGTGTGTGTGTGTTGTATAATAGCAAAAGAATATATTGTGATTGACTTGTACGGATCCCAATTAAACTTCATGCTACTGTATACACTCTTCACTTTATTAATTAAACAAGAAAGCATTATGTTACCTCTTCCATCCCCCAAAAAGAATTTAAAAAATAGTCATTCTTTTTTTTATAATGTTTTTATTTTAACAAACATGATTTTTTTAACAGGACAAAGGGCGTTTAATTATTATAGTTATCCGCATGTTTTTCAAAGAATAATGATATGTACAAGGAAAAAAATTACTAAAAAAACTACAAGAAATGATGTGTCAATCATCTAAATTATACCTTAATTTTAAATACTTAAACCCCATATAAAAAGCTTTAAAAATAAATAGTTTATGATTATTCCTTGTCATTTTTTCTTATATTCTTTTCCTGCACAAATCATTATCATTGAAAACTGAAAGTTACTCCCTCCGTCCCCTAATTATTGTCTGGTTTGGATTTTTATTTCTAGTACAAATTGTACTAAAAGTGAAATCTCAAACTGAACAATAATTTCGGAACCGAGGGAATACTTATTTCGGGGGGTGAGAGGAAGAAGAAAAACATTCCGTCTTAGAAAGTAAATCAATTTTAAAAATTATCTTAAAATGAAATTTATAGAACTTACGTCATGTACAAATTACTGTAAAACAATATGAATAAGTAATAATATCTTCAATTATTCATATGGAGTCATAATTTTTTCTTGGGCCTTACTTAAATGAAGGCCACTGGCCCACCGGTCACCGTCCACTTTGTATTTTCGTTTTTGTTTCTCACAGAATTATACATGCGAAAAGTACCAATATAGCCTCGTACTACTAACAACCCACTTTTCCGGGGGTTTACGTACAAGTAATGATAGTTAGAAGGCTAATCAACGGAGCAAGCTCTAACATCCGCAAACATAGTCAACCTCGGGATATTGACTCTAGGGTTGAATACACTGAACTATGAATCGTTACACTATCAACGGAGTCGGATAATTTACCACGTACCGAGCAAAATTTACAAATATAATAACTAATAGTGTAAAAAGGAATTTCGAATAGAGAGCACTGTTATGAAGCTAATAGCCCAGGATTGATTACTTTTCGTAAGGCAATAATAATAAACTCAAGTTGCTTGTTGAGCTTCAATGAGGAGTTTAATTAATCAAGTACTATTATCAGTCTATGATCATGCCTTTTAATCATCATTAATCTCTTTTCCACTGTGATCATGGAGGCTAAAGTTGATGCTAACATATGCACGCTTTGAAAAGTTACTCAAGGTGCCAAATTTAATTGGTTTTATTATTACATGAGGGGAAAAAAAATCATAATGTATTAAATTCAAAAAAATATCGCGTCATTTTATAATAATGAGAATATGTGATAATCTATTGATAACTTGACTAATTTCAAACTGAATTATTATAATGACGTAAAAGATACGTGAATTACTAATCTAGGTCGGTGACAAATTCCATATTCATAAGTTTAGTTTTGTAACAAAAATTCAATACGTCCTGCCTATTTTTAGAAGTTGAAACTTCATGTGAGGTTCCGCCACAACTCCACATGGAGAGATTGCTGATCACTCAAGTTTCTCTTTTTAGTTTTTACTTCACTTGAACTACTTTCACAACTATTGAAACTTGTCCCAGTGACCGGTAGCATGTCATGCTAGGTTAGAGGTAGGATGGTCGAATCCCTTTCCCTTTCCTTTTCCCCATTCGTATCTTCTCTCTTCTGGTTTAGAATATGTACAAATTGTAAACTATTATGGGAGTCTCACCGCACTTTGTGTGAGACAAGATACATATAACTGTAGTGTTTCAAAAAAAAAAAAAAAAACTACTTTCAAATAAAGAGTTAATTGCAAACCATCCCTTTTGACATTATTCCGCCTTTGCAGAATATCCCTTACATTTACACTAAGTTATCGTTTTCAAAAACTCAAGAGTCAAAATCTGTCCTTAATTATGTAGAATCCCCAAAACATCCTTCAAGCCTTCAAGATCGCCCGACTAGGCAATTCTATGTATTTATGTGATAATCCAATTTGATCTTTTTTCGTAATCCTTCTCAAACAATCAAACTTCACCTTTATGTCATGAAGTTATGTTGAATTTGAAATATACTAGTAAAGTTTGTTCGAACTTTTATTTTTTCAAGAGTCTTTAGACAATTTTGATAACTTGTGGATACAATTTAGTTATCAAAATTATAACTTAGTTTGAAATCGGAATCGTTGGAATTTAGCACGGTTTGAATCTTGCATGGTACTTGGACAAAAAAAAATATTAGTGCACATATTAATTATCATAAGAGTATCCTGAGTATTATAAAGGACTGTTGAAGGCCAATTAGTTTTGTCAAAATGGATTATTGCAATAAATTATTTAGTGACAATAACCGTTTACTTGAGATTCGTAAAAAAAGAGGTAAATTTTGTAAAAGAGAGTTTAGTAATTATTGTCCTATAATAAACTAGGATATACAATATCCAAAAAAAATTTATTACGAGTTTAACTTTTTCTTTATGTACAAAAGACATTCAATTGCGCGGATAGAAAAAATAAATTTAAATTTAACAAATTTGAGGTTTTAGAACTTAAAATATTGTACTGAACTTTTACTTCACAGTCCCTCCCCAAATTTAAGGAAATTATTTGCAACACTCTCAAAAAGATAAAGTCAAGAAAATGACAATCTTCCATCTAACCAACCGGTCAAATTACAAACAAAATATCTATTAGGAGTACAAAAACAAAACAAAAAACGGTGGTATTAATAAATAAATAAATACTTAGTACAAATACAAGGGCATTTGTGGCAATTCTCAGTTACACTTCCTCCATAACTTAAGGATGGAGTCATCCTGTATTCTTTTACTCGCCTGCACTTGCCATCACCCCACAGCTCACTCACCCAAGTCACCTTCCCCTATAAATTAATTTATTCATTTCATCATCAGATCTTTCTAAAAACAAACCAAATTAAAGGAAATTTACTCCTCCCACTTCCTTCCATTCCACTATCCCAGAAAAACCCATCAAAGATCAAACCAGAAAAGAAGTTACTACACACAAAACAGTAGCCTTTTTTTTGGGAGCTAAAAAAAATTTGATCTTTTTTGAGATTGATAATACCTTTAGAAGATGAGAACTAGCAATCACTTGATAGGGTTGTTGAACTTCTTAACTTTTTTAGCTTCCATACCCATATTAGGAGGTGGGATATGGCTGAGCAGCAGGGCAAATAACACAGACTGTATGCAGTTTCTTCAGTGGCCTTTAATCATAATAGGGGTAGCTATTATGGTGGTTTCTTTGGCTGGAATTGCTGGGGCCTGTTACAGGAACACTTTCTTAATGTATTTGTACTTGTGGGCCATGTTCATTATCATAGCTGTGCTTATTGGGTTTGTGATTTTTGCTTATGCTGTGACTGATAGAGGAACAGGGAGACCTGTTCTGGGCAAAGCTTATCAGCAGTATTATCTGCAGGATTATTCAGGATGGTTGAAAGACAGGGTTGTTAGTGAGAGTTATTGGTCAAAGATCAGTTCTTGTATTAGGGATTCACATACTTGTGGTAAGCTGAGAAGGACTTATAATGGAATTCCTGAGACTCCTGAATTGTTTGATCTGAGAAAGCTTAATCCAATTCAGGTATGATACGAACCCAAGAATGCATTTTTTTGCTGCTTGTTGTTCTGTTTTTGGGACTCCTTTTGATTATTTTATGTGGGTTCATTTTTTCCCCCTCTGGTAGCTTTTAGAATATCCATGACTTTTAGTTGAGTTTTTTTTTGTGTGTTTCAAATGAGTAGAAGGGTCAGCAATGAAATGCCAGAATAATATTTAGCCCAGTAAAAAATCTCGAGTTTTAATGTTCTTTGGAGGTTTTCAAACCATGTGAATAACGTTAAGCTTAGATCTGAATACATGGAAACACTTGCCAGAATATGCCTCTTTCTTCATGAACAATTTCTGGAATGGGGGGACACTGCTACCCTCCAGGTTGTGGAAGAGTCAAATATACATTAAAAAACGCACTTGCCACCGACCCTTTTCCTCTCAAATTTTCTTTTCAGTGGTTGGCTGATGTTCCTTTCTTTATATATTCTATTATTTTCCCTTTGAAGTTGGAATATTTCTTGTCCTTTTTCCTTCTGTTTATCATTTTTTGCTTGTGTTGGGTGGAGTTTTGATTATCCTGTTTTCCACGTACTTGAAATCTTCAGTTAATTGTTTAGCTAGAAGACTGATTCATCTTCAAGCTGAGTGTACAATCTTTTCTTCTTCTACCATTAAAAGAGACATTCTCTGGGGGTTTATGTATATCCTCCCATGGAGGTTGTGATGACTGATGAGATGTGAAGTGTGAAATCTTTCCTTGAGATACTTATCCAACCATGAGACATTCAACCAACCTTGCTTTGTCGTTTGATGAGGCAAATGTTTTCAGCATCAGCCTTTCAATCTTTTATCCTTTTGTGGTATTTATTTGTTTTTATATTATTTCTCCTTTTTTTTATCCTAAAGGGGTTACATATTCGATAAATGATAGCCCAAAAGAATACTTTTTTCTGGCCTTTGAATACTACTAAATCAGAGCCTTTAGTGTTAGGCCTCTGAGCTTTTTGTCCTGTGGTCCATTTTTCTTTTTTTTTGCCTTTATAGAATATCCTTCAAGGTGGTTTCTTGGTAACTTTGCTTTTCTTCATGTTTTGGGTAATCGTAAGAATAAGTTGAAAGTCTGAAAATGAAAGACCACTGTATCTGGGAATCTTTTATATAAAAGTTTACCCAACTAGCATTGATTTCCTTGTTTAATCTTGCACATAAACTTGTTACTGTGCTCTGAAGTGTTCATATAGGAGTTTGTCATTTGAACATTCTGGATATGAGGGAAGTTGTATTATTGAGAAATGCACTTTGAGCTGACCAAAAAGCAATAGTGGGCAGAAAATTTCCAGAATAGGAAAAACATTTTTTAATAAATTTTATGAAGGGTCTGGATTGATATGCCCTATTTGTTATTCTCATATTTACTTTTTTTGGTTGGGCGTCATAAACGTGATCATGCATGACAAGGACCAAATCACAAGACTTATTTCATATGGTTAATAAACGTGTACAAATTGCTAAGCTATGACTTCATTAGATTGCTCAATGATTTGCCCAGAACCATCAGTTTCAGATTCCCTATTTAAGTTCTTGAGTCACTTGCTTTTCTTTTTCCATTATGGTCATGGATGTGGTAAAGTGTCTGGGGTAGTGACAAGGAAAAAGATTGGTCCTTACTCTTCCTGGAAAACTCCATACTAGAGCCTTAAATGTATGCAAGTCAGAATTTTGAAAACATGTCAGGTCTTTACTTGTGCATTATAATATACTTCTTCACAGTCATTTAGATAATGGGAAATTGCTGTATAATATTCCTACTCTTTATCAAGTTTCTGTTTTATGCATATAATTAAGTAAACCCCTGTCTGGTATTGTGAACTAATAAGCTGAACCTTTCCTGCCCATTAAAAATGTTTATTTCTGATGGTATCAGTTAACTGAAATGATATCTCACTTGCAGTCTGGATGTTGCAAACCTCCTTCAGAGTGTGGGTACATTTATCAGAATGAGACAGTCTGGGTCCCGGGAAGTGGCCTAATTGCAACTGATCCGGATTGTTCAAGGTGGAGCAATGATCAACAGACACTTTGCTATAACTGTGATTCTTGTAAAGCTGGCGTTCTGGGAAGCCTGAAGAAGAGTTGGAGAAAGGTTTCCGTGATCAACATAGTTATCTTAATCATTCTGGTAATTGTCTATGTCATTGCTTGTGCCGCTTTCAGGCACGATAAACGGATTGACAATGATGAGCCTTATGGCGAAACACGAATGGAGAAGGCACGACCCAGCAGGATACATTTTTGAAACAACAGTCCAAAAAGAAAGCAGTAAATTTGGTACCTAGTTACCTTCTTTTTTGTAATCTGTTTTTTTTTTTTTTAGATGGAAAGATTTGTTCTTGATGTGATTTTGGAAGGTAAGGTTGACATTGCTTGTGTGCATATTTTGTACTGAATTTGAGACGGGTCTTGTTTAATTCCACTGAAGCAATACTTTATGGTCAAATTGTGATTACAGAAAACACTGTTCGGTGCTTCCTATTAGAGTATCCAAAAGGCCTCCAAAGATCGATCTATCCACTAATGGGATCAAAACCGCAGACTCTAAACATTGATTGATTTACCCACTTTTAGATTAAAACTGCAGTTAGAACATTACTTGGCTGGTGTAAATTGGGGGATGTCTCTTTCCTCATAATGTGTTAAACTCATGACCTATGTCTCTATCACTTACCCGAAATGGATTTGAAACTTAGGATAGCAACAGTATTATGAAATTCCCTTACATAATAACCCTGAAACTTAGGATCGCAACAGTATTATGAAATTCCCTTACATATTAACCCTCAAACAACGAAATCTGAAACTTGGGAAGATGAAAATTTGACCGGAAATGTGATACTTAAAATATTCTGAAATTTTGGGAATTTGATCATCAATGCCCTGAAACTCTGAAAGCCATTTTATCACTCATCAGAAGCGAATTTCCCAATTTGCTTCTTTTCTCAACCCTACAAAACTCTTTACATGGACAAAATATTCTGTTTCTTCGGATGACAAAATTCCTAAGTCATCTAGAGGGACAGTTCTTATTTGTCAAAACGCACTAACTACTCTTAGAGCCTAAAGCTTGCTCCGCCACAAGCGTGCTAATAAAAAACAATTAGAAATTAATAGAGAACAAACTAAGCCCCCTGTGATAATTAATCCTAAATTATTTTTGACACTTGGTTTCTTCTTTGGTCTGACTTTCTTGTGCCCTCTCTTATCCGCATCAAGGCTTTTCTTCAAACTTGTTTGATCTTCTCGACATTGTTCCGGACTCCACCTTGTGATCGTTCTCTCTTCAACAAGAAAATTTTCAAAACAAGATGGTGAAGTTACCTCTGTTCCACTTTTATTAATGTATAAAATTAGCAATGTCTTCGCAACACCACCAGTCACTCTAAGTGCACCCTCGAAATCAGACCAAACCAACAAACGACCATTGGATTCAACCTGACCATCTGACAAGACAAGCACTGCATATTCTGAATGTACCAGGGATGGATGATGTCTGTAGGCAACAAAATCGGCACCATATAGATTCCCTGGTTTGACAACCCAATTTTTCATCCGTAGATGTGAATATGCTTTGAACAAATTTGTAAAATTTTCTGAGCATGAGTTCATGAAACTCCACAACTCTTCACAACTTTTTTCACACTTGTCCTCACCTATAACTTTGATACATTTAAGAATATAGAATAGGTAAAAAGTTTCCTCCATACTTAAAGTGAACAAACGGTTACCCTTTTCAGCAGTGATTATCCGATATCCAAAACAAGCGCGATCAAGAAGTTCACTTTGTTGGTCGTCTGCTTCAAGGAGTCCGCATGAACTTGTCAATAATACTTGAGAGTTTGACTGGAGCAAACAAGACTGAAGCTGGCAAACTATCTGGGACATGGGATCTGCGAGTGCTTTTTCTTTTGCTCCCTTCCATTTCCATCTTGTACCCATTCCTTTCATAAAAAACAGAATGGAATAAGCTTTAATACTTTTCGACGGGAATTAGCAAAGCACCCCTCAATAAGTTAACAATCAAGAAGTACAACCATCAAAAAAGATCACGGGAGTAGTAAACAAAAGGGAACCTCATTTCCCACAAGGAGCAGGGTAGAATGGTATCCATGAAGATGAGAATAGAGAGGCTGCTAATGCCTCTGTTAGTTTTATGATGAAGAAAACAGGCAAATTTTAGAGAAGAACGGTTCCGCATTACAATCACAATCTTTAAGCAACAAAGATAAAAAGGATGTAAATATACAGTTGGCAATTGGTATATTGTCAACCGAAAGACATAATTGAGGAAGCAAATAAGGAGTAAAGGGAGTTCTATGTCATAACGACCATAGGCTAATCTAAACCAAAAGGCTTAAGTATTTTCCTCCATATTCTAACAATCAAATAGCAGGTAATACACACAATTCGTGTGGCAATCATTGGCAAATAAAACCTGAAATAAATTGTCACTTCACAGCCACATTCTCTCTGGTTGATGCAATAGCAAACAAAAGCAGAAGACGGAGATGCAATAGCAAACAAAAGCAGAAGACTGAAATTAAAGGGCCAAACGAATTAACCAAAATGAACAAATTTATGTACTTAATTCTCCCTAATTGCTGCAAAAGCAACAAACAACACTATCAACACACTCTAACCATGGAAACTAAAAGGCCAAATCAATAACCAAAATGAGCAAGATTAAAAATTATGCTTTAGCATCAATAGCTTGAATTCAGAATTTTCCAAATCCCTATATAAAAGACATTCGAACAAACCTGATAGATTGGATGCAGTATCCCAATCTTTTTTCACTCAGATGAAGTTATGATGACCGTTGATTTCAAGCTTTCCCTGTGATAACAAATCCCTGTCGGCGAAGAGGTTATTTTAACTTCAACTACTTTTTCTGCAACCCAATGGAGGAAAAACAAAGGCTATGAGGAAGGAGTTTGGAGAAGAAGGCTCGAACAGAGGAGAGAGACCATAAAGTTTGGCTCTGTAGAAAAGCTTCAAAAGAGTAATAATAGTTGGATCCGACGATGATCCGATTTCGGGTCCTCTAGTATGAAGGGATCCATCTAATTGTTGGTAAGTTATACACATCTCCCATAAAGTTTATGGAAACTATCAATTTAACCTTAAGGTTTAAGAAACTGACCCTTATTGTCCTTAGTCTTTCAAACCTTAACAGATATGGCCGTGACAATTGGCCTTACTTTCTGTATATTGCATAACGTGTTGGTGAGTCATTATCTAGATTCTAGATTGAAAGATAGTTAATTTGCAGTAGTGAAAGATAACCGCGAGGTCCCGACTTTGTCTGCTAAAATCGAATTACCCAGCTCGAATCCGGATTAGTTAGAACAATAATTTCGGACGTAATTTGGAAAAAAAAATAAAATAAAACCAGCGAGTTCCATAACATATGTCGAAAAATAACTACCAAAATCTCTATCATTCAAATTTTTCCACTCATAATAGATTGTTATTATTTCGAGTATGATAATTATTGATATATTAGAATAAATTGACGTCACAAATGATTAGAGTAGACTTGTAAAGATTGCGAAACAAGCCGGTCGTTCAAGTATACTGGAGACTTTTGACTTTTGAAGTGTTAGAAGTTTGACAAATAGATTCATATAAAATCTCTTTTTGATTAATTATTCCATATAAACTATCCTCATGTAATAATCTAGTTGTTTCATAATTGTGATCAATAAAGGGGTTAAAGAAAACAACTTGTCTTTGGTTTCTTCTTTCTTCCTTTGTTAAATTAGAGTGTTGATGCGAGGGTTTTGCTTAAATTGGGTTCTTGCTGATTGATAGCTAATGCTTCTAGGGTTTTGCTTAAATTGGTTTTTTTCTGATTTGATCGCTGATGCTTCCAGGTGAGATTTCCACTGCAATAACATTTCAGCCATTAACAAGATTGAAGAACATTTTTGTGCTATAAATATTTTACTCCCTCTTTCCCAAAATTATTGTCCACTTCGAGATTTCACTTTTAATACAATTTAAACTAAAAATGAAAACCCAAGCTGGACAATAATTATGGGACGAAGGGAGCACATCATATCCTCTGGATCTTTCCTAATCCAGCATCTTCCATTAAAGACATAAAACAAAGAAAAAAAGCAGGCCATTTTTTATGTTGATTTCCTGTATTAAGCTGCCCACAAACTCAAAAGAAAAGAGAATTGGCAACATTGTTCCCAGGACAAGACAGGGAAGAAAAAGCAGATTCCAACGAAAGAAATACATATGACACAATAATTAGAGGCCTTTGCAAGAAAATTAGACAGGCCTTGAGCCAATAATTTATACTATGATCGCTTGTAGATGCACTATGATTTCAGCACACTTCTATATTTATTGCGTTTCTAACATTTACAAAATTATTACTATTTCGATGAAATGAAAATTACTAGCTTATCAATGATAGTGACATTGATAATCACAGAAAACACCTGATGCATGTGTCATTATTTGTCAACATAGTTGTTAAAGTTAAGATTCAGCTTAGCTTACATCATATCTAATCATTTGGGGGCCAAAAGGATTTAACTTTGTTAGTTCATCTTACTTAGTTGTCTGAACCGGATCTAGTAAGTTATTGGACGTAGTCTCACATTGTAGATAAGTCATGATCGATCATGGATCTTACTATACAACCAACAAATGAATTCAATAAAAGAAAGACCAATCCAAAGGCCGAATTACTGAAGAATTCATCTTTGGCAAAATTTGAGAAATGAAGGTGAATTACAGTGAATTCTGGGTAAAATTACAAATGCTTCTCTTCTTCTTCTTCTTCTTTTTTCTTTTTTACTATAATTGAAAAAAAGGATCTGAATGCTTCGAAACACATGTATTAACATCTTTGACGTAGGACAGCCACATTGCTGAACTCAATGAGACAATAGCCAGGTCTCAAATGCACGATTCTCTCGCGTATCTTTCATCTGGGAGACAGATAACTCGACACTCCTGAGGTTGATGTATGTTACCTTAGCAAAATGCGTATACTTTCATTGGCTATACAGTTCTTCTTCGCTTTCTGCTATCCGATGCCGGCCGAGTTTCTGCATTGAGAAAAGTTTCCATATGTTAGAAAAATTCAGCCGGAAATTTAGTAATGTCTGCACTCTTTTGGTTGTATGTGACAATGTGGTAAGTTAACAAATAATAACTGAAGTCTGCAGGCCAGTTTTGAGTATCAAATTCTTCATACCTTATTCAATGAGGTATCACTTTGTTGCTCTAGTTCACGCATCACCTCCATTGATAATCCAAACCAGTCATCAATCCATGCGAAAATGTTCCGGTGACTTTCAAGAAAAAGTGCCCTTTCACCCTGAAAAAAGGATGCATACATATAAACATATGATTCATGGATGGACGCCAGGGAACTCTACCACATCTGTTGTACACAATTCTTAGCCAGACCGGCCACAGCAACAAGAAGGCCGGCCATTAGGGGCGAATATCTTATTTGTTTTTTAAGGGGGAGGGGAAGAGACACTTTGAACATGTCCAAGCTCAGCAGATAAAGACGTCCATAAGAGTTTTTTATGTCAAACAAAAGGTTCTAACCTATATTGTTGTAAAACAAATGTCAGAGAAAAAAAACTTGTGCTTTAAAACATTTATTGCATTTTCATGATATTAATATCTTTTGATAATTTATCTCGTCATGGAGGTGAACATCTGGAAACATCTCAAGGTGACACTTGCACTTCAAAGAGGCTCACACAATTTTCCCCTACTTCCTTTCGTCGTCACATCAGCAACTTCTTTACTTCACTAATATCTGAAATAATGTGTTTGAAAATTTTCAGGAACTCTAGATTATGGAGTTCATCAAATGCCTCTTTATTCGTGTCAGCAAGTCATATATTGTGGTTGAAAGAAATAACTCTTCCTAAACTATCATTTCCATACAGATTACAGACAAAAAGAGGACATCCCAGTACACAGGAGTTCTCAAATCTGCCGAGTCCGGTAAAGGTCTGGGCTGACTTAGGTTCTGATGTATGGTAACTAATTTAAATATCTACTAGACACAACAATCAAGTAGAATTTCACGACTCAAAATAAAAGAATGCTCAAGGTTCAGCAATTGTACCGTCAACAAGGTTTGCTCCAACCTGCTCCCAAAGCCCCAATATGGAACATCAACTGTCACCAGTTTGTATGCAGTCATGACTGGATTACATTTGTCCTACAAATTTACATTACACAGAAGTGTTAAATGCTTTGAGCATAGGACCAGAAAATAACAATTGAAACTACTCAGTTACTAATCTGCCAAGCAATATCCACATCTTCATATACAAACTAATTTTAGAGCAAATCAATTAGGGTCATTTGCGAGTTCACCCTGCCTTTGAAGAATAGGGTATTCTCTACGACAGAAGAAAATTATAACTTCAAAGATAAACTCTCTTGAGGAAATTATCATGAATATATGTAGAGGACAAACTCTTGGCTAAAAGTTTGAATCCAAATCTCAAAAGAGGGACATAGACTGAACGAAGAAAAAGCTAAGGAATTGATCCCAGAGAGCCTGAATCCTGTGAAAAAATGATTAAGACTGGCCAAGAAGAAGAAAAATCAAAATAAGGATAGTCCAAACAACATTTATAGTTATACCGCAGAAACTGCGTAAAGGCAAAGGAGGAGACATAACATGAAGAGGTTTATTCCGGCTAATCTTGTCAACCATGAGCAAAACACTGAAACTTCCCTACACTGATAGAAATTGTGATCAAACTACCACACTAGATCGTATCATTTAGAGGGTAAGTGAAGCTGAGGAGGGTCAGACAAAAGTATGAATCACTCTCTTCTCATGCCGTGAGGCCCGTGACTAATGGTATATAAGTAACAACATGTCAATGCAAAACAAAGTTATCTCAAAAAGATAAAATGTAAAATGAAGTTCACTAGACTAGTTTTACGTCATCCAGATGGCTAAGCTATGATTCTTCTGGACTGAAATTCAGAATTCAAAATTACAACAATGCCATTTTGTGATACACTAGAGGTGAACAATAGAATGGGACATTAAAGATCCACTATTTGAATGTAAGCTTGATACTCCACTACAATTTTCAATAGTTTATGCCATTATTACTAAACATGACGACGTATGTACTGACCTGCCATCCTGCTAAAAGGGGACCCCGGCTGGTTCTAGTGGATTGAAATGTAGAGAAATCAATATTGTTTCTGCCAATTATATAGCTCCAGTAATCACTAGTATCTGAAGCAATGTCAATCATTTCCACCTCTGTGGCTGCTAGTTCTTGTTTGTTCAGACCATGGACCTATATCAGCGAAACTTTAATTTTCAATTTAAACCATTTGTTTTTGTTAGAAGAATTGTATCTTCATATAAAAAGGAATTCGCTTTTCAGAATAGCATGATGATGCAAGGGGGGTGGAAGAATGCTGAATCCTTACATTCTCAGAATACCCATTATCAGCCTTGTGGATGGTTTCAATAGTTAATGTGAACCTTGTGAAGTACGGGCACTGAAAATAGAGTAAACAAGAATATTTGTCAGCATGAAAATTCCTCAACATGGAATCAGTACACCAAGTAACAGAACTAAATTACAGGTAAAGGAAGAATCACCTTAATGACTGCCACAATCGATCATCAAGTTTTCAGATTACACACAGAAGAAATGTCAGAAAGGGTGCCACAGAAAAAGAGTTCATTCAAACAATGACCACATACACAATACACCAGTTTTATGTGGAAAGAATGAGTTGGCAATTCAAACCTGATTTACACCTGGGAAATGAATTCCAGGCTTCCTCTTGCATCACAAGGGCATCAGCGGGTGCAAAGGCTGCCAACCAGGAAGGAACCTTGCTGCAAAGAGGGAAGTGAAGGTTGCAACAGGAGAAAATGTCAGTTCCCGAAAATAGAAGCTCAGGTAACAGCACATATTCTGAGCAGATTTGGTGCAAAAGTATCCCAATCATAAAACTTCCAAAGAAAAAAAAAATGTCTCTCCGCTTGAGAGCACATCAATTTTGATTAGACAAATGGTAGTGCATGCCAATTAAGGAATCTCAATGTCTCCTGATAACATTATTCATGAGTAAATAATGTAGACAAAATTTGAATAAGGTTACTTTAACTTGACTCAGCCAGATAAGCAGTTGATGAAAGCAATAGAATAAGGAATCTCGTTAGTGGTCTATTATTGGGAGAATCAGCAACTTCACAAAAAGACACTAGATATAATTGAACAACTTCTACAATTACACAGTTCTCCATGCTAAGCCGGCCAAATAGCCACGTTCAAAAAGGTAAGAAAAATTCTCAAATTCAAAACCGTCATCTTTGATGATCCAAAGTTACCTCTGTAATCTGTACAACTTCAAAGTGTATTGACCCTTTCCAAATTCATCATCTTCAAAAGGTCTGTTCTCCAAAACCTCCACCCCTTCTGTCCCTGTGGTGCTCTGCTGCTGCATTTTCATTACGGTGTACATTTGAGCAATCTGATACTGCAAATTTTCACAAACAAAACAAAAAAATTAAATCAAAACAAAAAGACCAGTACTAGAAAAAGGAAGTTGATAATCATATGCAACATTGATGGTTCACCTCTTCCAATGACAAAGGCATGACAACCCGGCTTCAAAGAAAGTTCCTAGTCAAGGAATTCATAAACATGAAAGCCAAGCGGAATTATATGCAAGAATTGGTAAAAGCCCCCGTTTTTGTTCATCATGAAACATGATTATTTTCACTTTCATCAAGATAGATTTAAAAAATTAATCAGAAACATAAAGTTGGACAATTTGTCTCAACATTAAAACCAGAAAAAGAATCCAATTTCAAACATTTTCAGCTGACAAAATTAACTTCCTGCAAAGAAACGAAAAACCCAAAATTGCTTAAATACAATAGAACTGTAACATCAAAAGTACGGATACAAAAAAAAAAGAAAACAAGCAAAAGACCCATTCAAACAAAGTAAAAAGAAGAGAACTTGTATAGTACAGAACAAAAGGATACAACTCTTTCATTTGAACCATTGTTGAAGAAACTCCAAAAAATGAACAAAAACTGTACGAATGAATCAAACACTTGATGAATTGAAGACGCAGCTCTGAATTGGAAGTTTTTGTGTTGTGGGATGAATTTGGTTTTTTTTTTTTTTTTTCTGTTAAGGCAGAGGAGAAGGAAGTTTCTTTTGGTTTTGGCTGATAGTTTATGTAGGAGAAGAAAAGCGGAAGACGTCAATAGAATAGAACAGAACAGAAGACAGCGTGACGAGAAGAGATAATGCGTTGGAACTTCTTCTTCTTCTTAATTAAAAGCGCTTTTTTGCCAAAGGGAAACCCAACGACTTTAGTACTTGAGTTTTTCAGTTGTGTTTTTTGGGATGCCTTAATGCTAAAGAACTTTCTTTCTCAGAAATAGGAAATGTCAAAAGTCAAAATCACCCGACGCCGACCCTCCTGACTTCAACCGTTACGTACCCGAAGAAAAAACATCGGGTCCATTCCCAATCCTCACAACTATGTTACTTATTACGTAACTAGTGATGTCTGGTCGCGCAATGTGCAACTCTGACCCAGTATATTGGTAGATCTTAAAAATATTTATATTTAAAAAATATTTTGTATTTGTCCCAATATATTTTAGAAATGTTTGAAGAATTTAGAAATGTTTTATAAGTATGATCATAGAAATGTTTTATTTGGCAAAAAAAAAAAAAGTATTTAGCCGGTACGTTTTAGAAATATTTGAAGATTTTAGAAATATTTTATAAGTGTTACTTATTAAATATAAATAAACTTGATCAAATATATGTCTTGAAGTAAATGTTAGACAAAATATAAAAGCATTATAATAAGTTTAAATATTAGTAAGATGATTTATTTATGTTCTCCGTTTGTCGTGCAGAATCAATACTTAATTTTGAAGATTTATAATAGTTTTGTAGTAAGCTTCCTCTGAAGGGTATACGTTTAATTGTTGGAACTGTTTCTTCCAAAGATTTTTATGTAGTAAAATATCAAAAATATGATTTTGAAACTGGTTAATTGTTGAAATTGGTTGATCACAAATATGAGAATGAAAATTAATGTAAATTTACATAGGTTTCAAGTTATAGCAAAAAAGAACTCACCTCACCATGGTAAATAAAAAAAAGTAAGTAAAAGAGCCATTAAAAATTGAGAAATTATTTTTTTTCCTGTACGTAAAAATGATGTATAAAAACACAAATAAACGTAGAAACATCATTCTTTCCCTCTTCACCTCAAATTCTTCTTCCTCATAAATTAGTTAGAAGAAGCGACCTGAACTATTTATATGATGAGGAACTCAAAAAAGTCCAAAAACCAAATCCAAAAAATTAAATTCTTGAAAGCCCGAACACAAAAAAAAAAAAAAAACAAAGCGCTTCATTTGCAAAAAAATAAAATAAAAATAATAATAATAATAATAATAATTGGTAAACTGGGAGTATGAAACAAAATAAAAAATAATTAAATAAAGAAAAAACACAATTCATAACAGACCATATACGAAAAAAACTAAGACTCCATAACTAAAAAAAGAAAACCACTCTAATTGAATGAAACATAAAAAAGAAATTAAAAAAAACCACACTTTGTAACAAAAATCCAATTGATCAATTCAATCCAAACAGAACTAAAATCATACAAAAATTCTAGGCTAACTAACCATATAAGAAATCACATCATATTACCTAGCAACAGCTACGGTAACTGTAACGGGTAGACGCATAAAAATAATAGTAATAATACTATTCTTGAACGGCAAAAACAAAAAATAATAAAAGCCGTACAAATGATCTGTGGATATAAAATCATTTAAATTTTAATATCTGTAATGGCACCACCACAACGGTCGAAGCAAGATCAATGAGAAATTTTTTTTTCCTTTGTGTTTACATAGAGAGGTAAAGAGAATATTTTTTGAAGTCGAAATTTTATCCGATTAGGATGTAGTTGATCATAACTAATGAAAAGATTGAACATACTAATAGAAAGGAGTATATTTCACCACTTATTCTCAATTGATGATTGATGATGAATTTTTTTTATATTTTTTTTTTATTGTGGAGAAGGAATTGATTAGGGAGTCGATTGTCGTAGAGATATGGATGAGAATTTGGGCTATTTATGAAGTCGTGTTTTTTTTTTTGTGGCAAAAATAGGAGGTGGATGTGGATTTGAACTGCATTTGCCTTTTAAGTCTAAAAAACTGATGTGTAAATAAAAATTTATTTTAAAAATATGATGTGGAAATGCCACATGGCAAATGGTGGTGTTTTCTCTTAAATGTGGTTTTTGTTTCTAATATAGTAAGATATTAGTCCTTGTCCCACGTGTTGCGTGGATATGTAAAATGAGAGGGAAAAAATCGAACTTTCCCTATAACCATTACCGGTGTTGCAACTGTCAAACCAAATCATTCAAACTAAATCAATCAATGCAATAATTGAAATTGGCCTATATATATCATGAGTTGAAAGTTTTTATTCAAACGGAAATGAATCGAAAAACAAAAGAGAAGAAAGGAGAGTAGGATATCAAGCTTAATACTTCTGATAGCGGCGGCGGCGACAGAGGGTATGACAGTAGCGGCGGCAACAGCAGTGGCAGAGCGCGGTGGCGTAAAAGGCAGAGGAGAGAATTTGAGAGGTAGAAGAAAAAGATCTATTTTGGTGAATGATTTTACATTCATCCTTACACTTAAATAAAAGTCACAGTAGACAAGAAATAATGCCTAAGAAATATTCAAGGACTACCGTCGAATCGATCTCGTCCGTCGGATGGGATTGATATGATGTCATCGACTTATTAGGGATAAAACTGGAATTTCATAATTTATTTTCTTCTAATAAATAATACAAAATCCGAATTTTTGTTTCCAAATTTTATTCATAATTTATTTTCTTCTCATGCCAAGAAAACGATATCGTCGTTCCTCCCTGCCCTCCCTCTCCCCACCCCCCTCCCCCAACCTATAAATATTAACGATGGCTGCATAAGCTCTTCTACTCCCGACCGGCGACAATTCCTTTTCAAACCACCACGTCCATTGAATCGGCCATTCAATCTCGTACATAGTCTTAATTCTCGTCGATTGAATCGCAATACCGATTAAACGAATCAAACTTGGAACTTGGATCCTCCACCGCCCTCCAAGGTCTCCTCATCATTTTCCTCTATCCTTTGCAGACCCTAGCCGCCGGCGAAGGTGGTAGAAGCCAAAGATTGAGGTTCCGGTGGTGATTTTCCTACTCCAATCTCTTCAATTCTGAGGTAATTCATACAGGTTGTTCATCTTCTCAATGGGTTCGTATTGATTTTTTTAAATTAATTTTTTTACTAATGGGTTTCTGATTATATATGATTCTTTTCCTGAGCTTATGTTGATAAAAGTAATTCGGAAGGTGATCTGAGTTATCTTTTCTTTTGGTAGTGAGAAGTGCCAGTGTGGTTTCGTGCTTGATCTTTTTGCCTAGAATTGATTTATGGGCCCTGGGGACATGCAGTCAACTGTGTGAGAAATCAGAATGTTCTCTAAGCAATACTGCAACTGAAGAGTTTGCCGAGGGTTCAGAGTCTCAGACGGCTGAGAAAATAGTTACATATCTGTGGAATTCAGTTGTTCATTTGTTGGAATTCATCATGTCTCTTTGTATTTTTTGGTTTCTGATTTTTTAAAACATTTTTTTTCCTGGGATTAATATGAAATAATTGAATTTGGTAGCTCTAAATCTTTATTTTAGAGTCAAGATGATATATACTATTTGATGATGGATATCGCCTATTGACTGAATTCAGGTTTTGACGGAACTTTATAATTCAGATTTGAGCACTTTCACCTATATTTTTTTGAAATCATTGAATTACTTCGTGATAAGAATCTATGTGGAGCTAAGCAGGTTCAAGTTCGTGAAGACAAGGAATTGGAGCGAGAAGTTGTTAAGAAATTGAGAAATAGATGCGCCAAACCTGAGCAGCCACAATCTTTGGCTTTGGAGATTGAATGGAAATCCTCCGTGGTAATATGAGTTGGTCCTGGAGATTGAATGGAAATCCTCCAAAGATTTTGAGTTGTTTGGTACTATGTTTTTGGATTTTTTTCTCCTCCTCGGTTATGTTAATGTTGGGGTCGATCATAATGAAGTTTCCTATTACTCTCGAGCTTGAATTATTGAAGTTTTTTTGCTAACTATCATTGGCATGTATACATTTGATGATTACTTAGATGATGATTGAGAGTGATTGGGTTGGGACCCGAAAATTACTAAAAAAATCAGTACTGCATAATTTCTTTAACGTGTTTGTTGTTCCATAATCAGTTTGAGGTTAGCTGCATAATTATGGTTTCCAGATTGGAGTAGAAAACTCCAAACTCCAAAATAACAATATTTTGGGGCTTTATGGTTCCCCCTCTAATCCTTGTTGCTTCCCAATCCCCCAATTCCGGATGTCCGATGCCCTTGATAGAGTCGGCACGCAATCAGAAACTTCCACGGTAAGTTTCAAGGATGAAAGAATAGATGCGTAAACATCTAAAAATATCACAATCAGAAACTTCCCTTGATGGCTTGATCAGAAACATCTTTCAGGCTCCTGTGACATGTGAAGCTTCAAGGCAGGTTCGAGTGCGGTTTGTGACGAAGCTGAAACCTCCATATAAAGCACCACCAACCTCTATTACCATTCCTTCCAACCTCACCCGCTTGGGTCTCTCCACTATTATTAGTAGTTTCTTTAAAGTTGGTAATTATTCTAGAATATTTTCTCATTTAATTATTATAAACCGTTTACAGCTGCTGTTGGTTTTGATTATTCATTTTGGAACTATTCTACTGTTTTAGGTTGTTTCATTTTGTTGGTATTTGCGAATAAAAGTAGTAGTTTTTGGAAAATTTTGTTGTCCAAGTTGCCAAATTGATTTTGCAATATATATGTTAATAAAGCTGTGGCTAATTATTCCGTGATAAATGATGATTGGAAGACTGAAGTTTTTGATTTTCTAATTAATGGGAAGCTTGTATAGATATCCTTGGAAGAATTTCTAAATGCCAAAAGTATCTCAATGAAATGCGAGCGTAGACCAGATTGATGGCACAAAAACACAAACTAATATTGTCTCCTGTGTTTGGTTTTTGTTTTTTTTTTTTCTATTAGACAAAGATCTTTATAATAATAACCCATTGCCCTTTAAATTAATCTATTCAAACTGTTTTCAAGCTTGGCGATAAATCATAATCTATCTAGCATAACTGATTATACAGTTCAAAATTGTTACTACTCCTCCATAGCTCACTATAAATAACACCGTAGTTAATTTACTCACCAAAGAGTAATAAAAACGTACAAGGATAAGGATAATAAAAATAAAAAACAACACCGT